TTCTAAAATCATTACATTTGTTTACTTAAAATTTATTAAACAAATATTATTATTAAAATATTTCTCAGACTGTTTTGCGTAGCAATAAAAATGCATTTTATAATGCATTTTTAAATTCTATTCACACAAATCTTATAAGCAACTTAAACTGAGAAGCTTATTATAATCCATAAAGAATTATAGTGTTTGACTCAATGATTTTATCGTAACTGTTAACATTTACAAAATAAATGACTACAATCAAAATCGCGCCGTTTTTCGCTAACAAGGCGAAAAGTACGCTTTAAAATGCTGAAGACTTAATTAATGACTTGGGCTATTGATGAAGATCCGCCTCCAAATGCAAAATTACAAATTGTGCTAACAAAGAAAACACGCCTAGCTTATATATTTCATTATTTAGCATGTGTATTCACAGTTCCCTCAACCCAGCATATAATAAAACTGAAGATCATTTCCCCATTTCATGGACAATCAGGGTCAATTATCGATTCGAACACAGACATTTGTATATTTTGGTGTTCTGCACTGTGGGACAATGAAATTAACGTCTTACGCCTTCCGGTCCTCGAAAATAAATCTTCAAATTAAGTTCTGTCTTGTTGCGTTATTCAAAAAAATTAACGAAAATCGAAGCAATTTTTTGTGGAAAGATCGGAGAAAGAAAACGAAATCAGAAAAGATCAACGCTTTCAAGTGCCCACTTGGCACAATATAAAAAAGAAGATCTTTACGCTTATTTTTTTTCTTTTTTTGTGCAAAGGCGATTGCTCTCAGAGTGTGTACACGTTGTGTGTGTGTGTGTGTGTGTGTGCAGCTGCATGGGCTGTACAAGAAGTTTATAGTGCGTGGGTTGAACCAAATCAATTGTTATATTAAAATTGTATATGAAATTGAGAAGTTCCCTTGGTTAAAAGTGAAAACTTAAAATAGTAATAACAATAATAATTATATTACAGAAGCTTCAAATTTATTAAGTGGTTATAATACTACCTAATTATGTTAATATCTAAATCTTGATTTTCTTCTTGCATATCTAGTTGAGATCTCAGACAACTAAAAACCCCTATTACCACCCAATTCACAAATCAAGCAGCGGCAAATTTCTTGGGTCAGATTGTGGCGTGGAATGCTGGAAACGAACGCAAATGCGAAAATTACACCCCAAGCGACCAATTTAAAGCCATTAAATTATAATTTTAAATTTTAAAGAGCCTACAGAGAGCTGAGAGTTGAGCCCTGAGCGGACAGCGCCAAACAGAAGACACCCAAACGCATTATTCAATTAGCGGACACGGACGCTTTGTTTATTTTCGGAGTAGAATTGTTCCATGTTCTTTTTTTTTTTTCTCTTCACCAGACAACTTAGCAGGCAGTTTGGCAGTTGAAATTTGTAGCGATTGCCCAACTGTGGCAGGCGGAAGCGCAGCGAACGAAGCAAACAAAAAAAGTAGGTGTGTGTGTGTGTGTATGAGTGTGTGTGTAGGTTACGTTTATCTGCTTTAATCTGCGCTTACAACTGTCGCCAACCTGACACTCATAATTAAAGAAACAAATAAAGCATAACAGCATAACAGACAACAGACAACAGCAGCGCAGTCGCAGTCGCAGTCGCAGCATACACATTAACATAGTGCAACAAAGTAATCAGCAACAACAACAATTACAGCAACAACAGCAGCAGCAGCCGCAGCAGCAGAGACGATGACTACGTGGACGGCACTTGTCGTGTCTACGTCTGCGCAGCGTTGACGTCCACGACTTGGCAAAGCTTACAGCTACCGCTGCTTCAGCTGCTGCTGCTGCTGCTGCTTGTGCTGCTGCTGCTGCTGCTGCTGCCGCCTTGACTGTGTGACTTTGCTTTTGCCTTGGCCTGTTGTTCGTGGCGAGTTGGAGAGCTTTTAAGCTGCGCGTTGCGCTTTGCGGCGGCGTCGCTGCCTCAGTCGCTGTTTGTGGTAACTTCTTCGTGTCTGCAAAACGGCTGCTGTCTTAGTTCTTAAGTCCGTCGTTGGCGTGCTCCTCTTCAGTTCGTTGCTGACCAACGTAACGTGCGGACGTGCCAAGCTCGCCAACACAATAATACAAATATACGAAATAAATAACGACAGCGTGTTTCAGTGTTGCAGTTGTTGCTTTGGCTACAACAACATCGACAACTCCCAGAAAATAAAATAGACAAGCCAAATATATATATTTAACATTTAATGGTAAATCAAAAAAGAAAAAATTTTAACCAAATCAGTGCGCGACGCGTGTGCAAAAACTCACATTGACAAAAATAAAAATAGAAAGAAAAAACCAAAAAAATGATCGAAAAAGAAACGAAAATAATAATAATAATAATTAGGGATAATGTGTTGTACTTATTGATTGCTGATCCTTAACATTTTTCTTTTTGCCTGGCCAAAGAATTTCTCCAAATTGCTTGTGTGTGTTTTGCGTTTTCTTTACGATCTCAACAACGTCTCCTCAATGGGTTTTTGTGTGTGTTTGTTTGCCGTTTGGGGCTGTGGCGGCGTTGACTTTGCCCATGTCCAGCATCAGTAGTCTCTGTGTGTGTGTGTGTGTGTGTGTCTGAGTGTGTTTGTTGCAGTTGCAGTTGTTCCATGTCCAAGGCGCGGCCAGCGACGACTGTAATTTCTGTCTTGCGCATTCTAAACACTAAAACACACACACTCACACACTCTCACACAGACACATATATATATATATATATATAGAAACACACACTCGAAAAAGCAAACAAACAAACAAACATGGTACGCAGTCAAGTGAAGACAGCGCAAAGTTGCAGGCAGATGCAATGGGGAGACGAAAGGGGGTCTGCTGGGATGAAGACACTCCTGCCATGGCTAGTTTGGGAGGAGATGCAGATGCAACTGCAACAACTGCAACTGCAACTGCAGCAGCAGCAGCAGCAGCCACATGTGCTAGCTCTCTATCTCACTCTCGCACGCTGCAACACCATATTGGGGCATAACGGTGCAAAAATCGCGCTGCTTTTTACTTAGCACAGCTTTTGTGCACACTCTGTCTGTGTGTGTGTTTGTGTATGTGCCTAGTTTTTTATTTGCCAAGTTTATATCTACGGCTGCTGCTGCTGCCACTGCTGCTGCTGTTGCATTGATGACGACCCAGCGACCGATAGACCGACCGACCAAAGTGCGATCAAGCAAAAACCGCAAAAAAATAAATATATATTTTTATACATATATCGAGAGAGCAAAAGAACTGCATTCATCTGCGAACTTCATTTGCAGTTTTGCGGTTGCTGCCACAAACACTGCTGCGTCTGCTTGTGCAGCGAACGCTGATCGATTGGCGGACACATAAATTCAGTCAGCTGCCAACTCGCATCCTTAATCCTGCTGCCGCAATCACTGCTGCTCCTTTGCCCCAATCAGCTGCTGCAAGCTGATTCAAAATGCCAGCACTTCTCACGCCCCTCGGCGTTAAAGCCCCGTCTGCTGTTGCACTTTGACCGCAATGCAAATAATCATCATTTTGCAGGACTTGCTCACCAAAAACAAAAAAAATTATATAAACCGCTAGCGGCACTTGCAACGTGACTACACTGAGCAAAAGAAGTGCTTAAAGCCAGACACTATTGTAGAAAAGTAGTCAAGTGTTTAAAGTCCGTACTTGAGTTAATGCACTATAAAATGTACTATATATACACAATCTATCAGTTCACAAATATTAGTTAAATTATTTATGCTTTTTGGTTAGAAATATGTTTTAATGCCATGTACTGTTTATTTATTTATTGACTATCACAACAACAGAGAAAGGTATAAGCCAATTGAGTTTACTCAGCACATTTTCGCTCAGTGTATAGCGCTATTATTTTTAAGAGCATTATTGGTCAATAGGTTATGGCTAGGCGCAGTATATACCGTTTCCCTGTCTGTGTGTGAATCTGTGCTGTATCTGTGTGTGTGTGAGTGTGTGTGTGTGTGTGTGTTATGCTCAGCTCGAAAGCATTTAATGGGACACACAGGCAACATTAAATGTCCGATGCTCACTAATTTTTATGTGCACAGCTTGCGGCAATTTTTTTTTTAGTGCGCAGCGTTTCAGCCCACTTTAAACGGAACTCGGAGCACGGCAACGCCTCTTAACTTTTTTTTTATTATTAAGTTATAAAAAAAAAATGTATAACAACAACAGCTAGACAGCTGAGAAGCAGCCCAAAACAAAAAATTGAATGCCGAACGCAAAGCGACACACAACCGCATAACGGTATAAGTAGAACTTGACGTCCACATTCCCATTGCAATAAAATGAGATTTTATAACTAAAAGAACGAAAAACCCAAATTCCAACAACAACAACAGCAACAGCAACTACAACAACAAAAGATAGGCAAGACAGAGGTCGTCGCAGCAAGTGAAAATAGTGACAGCAACAACAAAACCTTAAGAGAAAAAAAAATGAACGTAGGAAACAAAAACAATTATAGGCAGCCAGGTGTTAATTTCAAGTTCGTTGCCTAAGTCTTTCGTTTTTTAAAGTGGAGCGCACGAGCAGCGCCCCACTGAATGCGAATGAGGGGCGTGCGAGCCGGCCGGCAAACACAATAAAATACAATCAAAAAAGTTTACAAAAAATAAAACAACATTCACACATATTTTATTATTAGTATTATTATTTTTATTATTATTTTTAATTATTCGGTCTTTTTTTTTTGAGCGCACATTTCGTTTTTGTTGTCTTTTTTACACGCATTAAACGTTTCGTTTGGCTTTCGTTTCGTTTTTCGTTTCATTTCCGTTTTGACCCCCGCCAAGTTCAAAGGTTGTGCCTACAGCAGAATAACACAAACACCAAGAACAACAAAAACCAAATAAATAAAGAAAAACAACAAAAGCCAGTTGCATTTGACAACTAAAATATAGCTGGAACTAAACTTCTTGGAAGCGAGAGCAACAACAACAACAACAACAACAACAAAAACAACCACAACACCAACAGCAACAATAACAACAGCAACAGGAACAATGCCAGCGACAGCGACGCCGACAGCGACGTCGACTGCGACGAGAAAGCAACCTGCAAATAACGCGATGCTCAGCAAAGCTTTTACGGTTAAGCGGCTTTTAGCGGTAAGTGTGCACGAACAAAGCTCCAAATACAACAAATATATACAGACATATATAAATAAGTTGAAGATAGATTTATTTATAAAAAGTAGTAATGCCAACAATCATAACTCAATTTGCAAATGCCATTGATTTTTTTGGGGCGTTGCCAATGAGAACTGCTCCAAAAAAATTGTCAACTCTTGCCCATTGTTCAGCTATGCAACATAGATTTATAAACTTCAATATATATATACATATATATATAGTACTTATCCACATATTTCTGCTTCATGCTTGTACATTTTTGGCGTGGGCTGGGGTTTATACAATGTGGCACTTACTTTAACTTGACTTTAACTTTGATCGTGGGCCGTCGGCCAAGTTTTTCTCACTCAGCTTGCTCTATGTATAAGTGTGAGTGTGCGAGAGTGTGTATATGAAAGAGCTGTGAAGTCGGCCATTGGGTCAAACTGTGCCTGATAGATGGATAGGCGTCGATGATGATGTTCCTCAGTATCTTCTTCTTGACTTGACTATTTGCTGTTGTTATTGTTCTCGTTACTGCTCGACAGGGAGTCTTCACTTGAGCGCTGAGAGTAATGTAGGCAAATTAATCTAATGAAAAGGTGGGAGTTAGTTGATTTTATTTGAGTTAAACCTTGGGAACTGGAGTTATGCCTCAGTGCGGCGGTTGGCATGCAAGCTTTAAGTTATTACCTTCATAAAATGTTAATGGAACTTTCGAGATTTCGGATAAATGTGGGCTGAAAAAGTATTTTAGTTAATTTTAGAAGAAATACTTTATTCTGAACTAAACAGCACTTGGCAATTAAAAAATTATATTTGATGCACACATTCTTATCAAGCTAATAAAATTAATTAATATTCTTAATCGAATAAAAATATATATTTATTAGAAGTATACAATTCCTTAACTGTAATAGTACAATTAAAAAACGATTATTTCAATTAATAATTTACCTCGCACTTTCCGCCTATGCCAAGTTATAGTGCTAATTATTATTTATTGCTTTTCCATTATTTGTTTATTTAATATTATTATTTTTTTGTGTCTGCCTGTGGCTTGGTTACTTTATATTTGCTTCAAATGTATTGGTCTGATGCAGTCTTTTGCTCTATTCCGTTTACCGCTTAGCCGTAGCAGCTGGCGGTTAAAGGTCAGCAGACAGTCTGGCGCCCGACTATCATTAAAAAAAAAAGCTAAGGAAAAATGTACAAAAGTAATTTGTAAAACACAAAAAATGATTTGCTGTTTTCCCCTGTGCTGCACTTTTTTCTTGTGTGTGTTTAATTTTTTATATTTATTTTTTTTTTTGTTTTGCTGCTGCTTCGTCCTGATCTTTAACGATTCCTACGAGTGAAATACGTGTACCGAGTTGGACTTGGAAGTTCAGGCCACTTCTTCATTAGCGCAACGGAATTGTAAAATTGCAAAGTGGCCATAAACAAAACATAAATCAACCGAGAATGCAGCAGCATCGCTTTGATGATGAATGATGTTCGCTTTACGTTGTTGTTGTTGCTGTTCTCTGTGCCTGTGTGGCAAGATGAATTACAGGTCGGCACTTTGCAAATCAACTGGGTGGACATACATTGGCAATTATTTGCCCAAGCAGTCAAGTTGCAAATATTTTATATTTTCGGCATCTATTGGGACAGCTTTCATGAAAGTTGCTGCAACAACAACAACAACAACAACAGCAGCATAACGTCTGCCAATGAAAGTAGCTTTGGTTTCTTAATGGGTCAACCTGCCACAAAGACACACACATTAAGAATAATAGAGATAGAGGCACATAGAAAAAGATAGACACTCTAATGGGCCAACAACAATGATCACATTCTCTGCTCGCGCTTAAGAGCCACTCGAAAGTATAATTAAACAATTTTTATTGACTTTTTTTTCATTGATGCCGCCACCGAGGCTGCGGCAAATTGAGAATGGAACTGTGAGATTCTGTATCTTTCAATTCTGTTGGCCTGCTGCCAGGTTTCCATTCTTTTCCAAACTCGAATACCAATTGCTGATGCTGCTGCTGCTGCTGCTGCTGCTGAGTGTTTTGTTATGAGCCCACATTTAGTTTTGCGGCTTGTGTCAGTTCTCAACAACAGCAACAACAACAGCAACAAAAATCCAATTGGAAATAAGTAGAAATTGTGGTTGTTAAGTGATTGTAGCAAAAGTGCATACAGCCCAGTTCCAATTTCTAGCTGTAACTTTGTCCAATGAAAACTAACTTAATCTCTCGATTCAGCGATATAATAATATTCATTTCTTATATAGATATATTTTTTATACTGCTTCCTCAATAATCTGAATAAGAGAAAATATCTTTCGACAGTAATTGAGTCTTCATAAAAATTAGCTGCAAATATCTTTATAGCTCTTTTTAACATACAATCTATTGACATAAACAAAAATGTGGGCAAACTTGCGTCATTTGCTGCAGAGCGTGGCATTCCGGTTCGACTTCTTTGCGCTTCCTGCAGCCAGCAACAACAACAACAACAACTAACTGTAATTTTATGTCTCAAGTGGTTGAAATTTGTTAACGAACAAGAAGTTGGCTTGCTGGCTTGTGGAATTCCTATTTGGAATTGCGATTGAATTTGAGTTTGAGTTCTGTTCTGTTCTATGGAGCGAGAAGAGTATCTTTTACAATTTAATATTGTCATTGCATTTAATGCTTCAGTAAATTTCAGTTGGAAATTAAATACATAATTACACACATCAAATTTCGCCGTACCGTTTTTAAGTAGTTGGAGGCGTATGCATAGATGTATATATTACTCCAACGTATGCAAATAGATTTTGTTACCTAACATTGGTGAGTTAACCAAGTTGGGTATAAATGTATGTGTAGATATCCAGCAGTTGGCATAATTAATGGCGTGTGGCGCTTAACACTCTGCCTCCATACGAGTGCATTGTACTCTTGACGTGTTTTTCTTCTTTTTCTTCTTCTATTTATTTATAAGTAGATACTCGGTTCTAACTGAAAAGCCCCCAAAAGATACAATATGCTAACATATAATACAAAACTGTATCTTGTTATTGTAGTACCCTTGTTTAATTATAGAGCCCAATGGGTTCAGTTTCAGACTACTTCTGCTTGTTGGCCTCAGTGTGGAATGAAAAATCGGTTTGCCTCGTTGCCAGCTTGTTGTTTTGGGCGTGTGTTGTGTTTAAGCAACTGTTAATTTTGTTTTACAACCTTGCTTTGTGGCTTTGGAGCATCTATAACGTGTTCGTCTACTTATCTATCTAACTGTCAGTTACAAACCTTACACACCTGTGTAGAATGTGTATGTGCGTGTGTGTGTGTAGAATGTGTATGTGTGTGTTCATTCATAAAAACAAAGTATCTGCCTCGTATTCTATCTTGTATCGCGTATCTCGTGCGATTTTTCGACTACACAAATTAATTATATGAGCAGCAGCCGCATCGTATTTCTACTTGTTGTTGCTGTTCGTTGTTTATGGCCAAGACTTTTGGCTAACGGCAGTTTCGTGTGCTCAAACAATTAGTCGGCAGACTCTCAAGACCCAAACCCTCTCCCTCCTCTCTCTCATCTTTCGAGTAGTGTTGGTAAATTCTTCACGCCTTGCATGCGCCGCTCAAATTTTATGCTTGGCAGACTATTTAATTTGTATATTAATCTGATTTCTTATATCATATCTGCATTTGCTGGGCAATTATGTAAGATCGGATTAAATCTTGGAATTGATGATGCTACTAAAAAGTGCTTAATCATCATTGGCACATTTACATGCGGCATACATAATAATTTGAGATTATTAGACTAATGACGTAAGAACGCCTTTTTCACATGATGGCAGTTGCCAAAAGCAGTAGTTGCCTAATATGATCATTTAGGGAAAGTAAATTATAATTTTGGGTAGCTAAAAATGTAATCACTTAGTGAATACTATTTGAGTAACAATCTTTAAGTTTTGATCAGAAGATCTTGGCACAATTGACTGCTATATTTTTAGAATGAAGTTCATATTTTGTTTCTTTTTTTTCAATTTCCTCGGCTCAAGAGAAATAACTTGTGAATTTTTTAATATATGTTTTAGATTTTTGTGTTGTTCACACTACTGCACCACACACAGGGATTGGAGTTGGGCGACAAGTGTCAGCATGACATGGACTGTACAGATTTCATCAAGGGCAGCAGCTGCTCGGCGCTTGGCTACTGCGAGTGTGCGCCCTACTTTGTCCAATTGGATGCCAAGCGCTGTTTGTCATGTGAGTAATTAAACATATACAACTACTTACTATATGCATAGTAACTGGGCAAAGTCAATCTTTGACTAACCTCCATTTGGAGGTAAACACAACAAGAACATCAACAACAACATTGACGCATCACTTTTATTGGTAAGAGTGTTGTTGTAGTTGTTGTTGTTGTTGTTTGAAGTGCCTAAGATGTTTGCTTATATGCAGAACCGTTACTCATATACACTCTCTCTCTCCCACTCTGTGTAGCTCAACTATTGGGAGGCGACTGCCAGCTGAGCGAGCAGTGCTCGATGAAGGTGGCAAACAGCAGCTGCCTAGATGGTGCCTGTAGGTGCGTCGAGGGATTCTTGCAATTCCGCAAGCACACATGTCTGGGACGTAAGTATCAGACAACTGTTGACCAATTGTGGCCCAAATTGCATGGAATTTCATAATTACTCCACACGAAACACACACACACACATACACATATATATCAACATTTAACAATAATAGTAATAAGTTCATTTATGGACGTTCGTTCAACTCTTTTGGTGTTTGGTAAATTGCAATAAACAATAAAACAACACAAGAATGGAACTTTGATTGCTTATCATAGGATTTACACGCAAGCCGATTCCAGCAGCCTCTTCTTCCATAGATACATACACAAATACAGAGATACACAGCTACACAGATACATGCACATATCTTTCGATCTGCGATCTGTTTTTTCAATTTGTTTAACCATCTCATTCATTCATTTCCGTGGATTGTTTGCCGTTCGTTAACACTTCTATAACAATTTTCCTTTCTTTTGCCGCCACTTGACACAAACAATTAACATGGCCATAACAACAACAACAACAATAACAATTGCTATTCTTCGGCTAACAAGACAATCGTGTCACAAATTAAACGCATAATTGGTTAATTTTCTAAGAACCCGCTAACGAAGCATTAGCTGCTAGAAATCTACAAACTAAGCGTGAAACATAAATTGTAACGTAAAATGAGAAATGTAAATGCATTTTGAATTATTTATGGCATGTGTACAGAAAGTATTATTCAGCCAAGTGTTTGCCAATTGGCAGATTGGAATGTGTGAAATATTTATGGGTTATTTGAAAAAGTAGTACTTATCACGACATTATAAGCTTGTATAATGTAAAAGTATTGATCACCAGTCAAACCAGTTATAGATCTAAAAAAAAAATAGAGAAGAAAGATCTCGATAAGAGGGAATGGATAAAGATTATCCAATTGCTTAAGATCTTTCGCTTATGAAATAAATATTATCCATTAATTGGACTTAAAATATTAGTAATGTGAACCAGTGTCTTTTAAATATATTGCGTCTGTTGCACTCTTAAATTGTGAACTTGAAATTCCCTTGGGTTGAATCAGCTTAAGCATAAATCTTGGCTCTCTCAACTTTACTTTCTTGCACTTAGCATAGCAATAACTTCAGTCAATAAAAGCACTTACCATAAAAAAAATGTAAGCCCAGTTACTTCCTTTAATAAAATACTTCAGCTGCAGTTAAGATCAAAGAACTCTTTGGAAAATATCTTCAAGTGTGATTTGGCCATTAGGCAAATGACAGTTTCCAGCAGCTACAAGTCTCTCAGAGAGAGATGGATAGTTAGAGACACACAGAGAGAGAGAGAGAGAGAGAGCGAGAGAGACAGACAGTTGTCTACTTGAACTGTTCCGATTTGGATCAATGACTTGGTCCATTCGTCGCATTCCCTCCGTGTTGGCACATTGGCGCCTAATGGCGTTAATCTGATTAGAATGTTTCGAATTCGAGCGGATTGTCAGCTTGAACCGACTTGCGGTACATTTGTTTGCCCTGGTGCTTAGCAGACACGACTTTGACTTGGACGGTGACTTCGACTTCGACTTCGACTTGGACTTGGACAACTGTTACAGTTCGTGTCTTTGCCGTTCACCTGTTGCAGTCTACTGCTGCTGTTGCTGTTGCTGGCGACATAATTATAGCGCATTTAAATGCACGCTGAATGCAAAAGGCCGCCCAGTGGGCGTGGCACAACAGCTGGCACAACTGACTATAATATTTAATTAAAATAATTTTAATGACATGTGGTCGGGTCGACCAAGCTGCTAGCTGCATGCAACTCCAATGCCACTGCTGCTGCTGCAAGTTTGCAATGCATTTATGAGATACTTTCACCAAAAAAAAAAAAAGCAAGCGAAACAGTAAAGCCAAGCAGCAATGAGAGGAGCAACAGAACCTTTCACCAGCAGTCACAGCCACAGTTCGAGTTGCTGCTGCTGCTCCTGGTCCTGTGACAAAGCTGCTGGCAGCCTCTTTGTCGATTTCTATCCGAATGCAAAACTGCGACTGCTTTACATGCCTAATTGCCCGAACTGTAGATGGTTTTGTAATTAAATTGCACTGATTATGTGGAAAGAAAGTCAGCGACCAAAGAAAGTCCAATTAGCGTTGTCAGCCAAGCAGCAGCAAGTAGCTCCAGAACTCTTGACTCTCTGACTCCAGCTGGCCAAGAATTTCAACTTCAACTCCAACTGCAACTGCGACTCCCGTTTGGATACAGTTGACAAAAGTGGGCTCTCTCTGTCGCTGCCTCTGTCCCCTCTGTCCACAGTCGGGTCAAGTTGAGCAAAAGCTGTGCCAGTTCTTTTTTGTGTGCAGGCTTTCGCTGTAGTTGTTGTTGTTGTTGTTGCCACTTGTTCCAGTTTCCCATGCACCTTAACCCACAGCTGAAACCCAAGCCCATTTTCGGAGATACATTTTTGTGCCGCTGTCTTTTAACGAAGCGATCTTTATGAGTTATGCATATATGACAACGTATTTGCCATGCTCCAAACTGAGAATGTGTGGAAAAGTATGCCAAACACACGAACATCTGCATGTAGCCAAAACAGATAATGAACCTTCACACATATATATATCGCCAGACAACAGAACCGAGAACCTCACCATGACGAAGACGTACAGACATGCTACAAAACGTACAGCAAACACAAATAAAACTGCAAAGCGACTTGAGAAATTTCAAAGATTGAGATCTCACTGCGTGGAGTTGCATACAGAGTTGCAGGAGGAGTGGAGCTAATGCTGATCTGTGAATGAATCATTGGACATTGGCCAGCTGGATTTGCTATACGCAGGTTACGCAGGGATATGTTGACTATTGAAACTTCAATTATAAATCTTACTAGAAAATGAAGAAGAGGAAGAGAACCACTTACAACTTTTCTGATCAAGTTCTAGAATTTTCTATTAGAGCATTGATCATTTAAAAATTGGTCGCCCTGCTTGCCATGCTAAATTTCTATATTTTGAAAAACAGAACACCATTAATTATTTCAAAATTGCTTATTAGTTGTAATTAAAAACTCGAACAGCTACTTAATGCTACCTAAGACAAACTCAAAGATGATCAATCGTTTGTATTGAAGACAGCATTTGATCTGAAAGCGTTATGCAAATTCTTTAACATTCTTTTGGCGAACACAAAAACGCTGCATGCCTCTCACTTTTCTCGACTGAAATTCAAGTCTTTATCTTCGATTTCAAAATTCGCCAATTTTTAGTTGGTCAACGCTAAACACTTTCCATGCCACTTTAACAAAGACACGAACAACAGAGAAAAATCCCATTTCATTTCGTTTGACCGCTTTAGGGACACCAAAACCAACAAAATAAATATAAAAAAATAATAACAATATGAAATAAAAAAAAAAAAAACAACCGACAATAGTACAACTGTGTTAATTTGAGCTATGGGGGGAAATGTGTTTTGAGTGGCCATTTGGTTAAATTGCGCCAGAAGCCAAATTGCATGCAAATTATGTGGAACAGTCCCAGAGTTCGAGTTAGACTTAGACTTTGAGTTAAAGCCACGACCAGTTTCAGTTCCACTCAGCTGCCACCACTTCCGCAAACAATAACCAAAGAAATGCCATAACAATAAAAAGAAGCAATACAGAAATGAAAAGCCGCACGGAGAAAGAGGTGACGCTCAAAGATTGGACTTAAACGCACTTGACAAACAGCAAAACCACAAAATGAAACCGAATACCAAAAAGCAAAATGTCTGCAATTAATTAGAAACAGTGTTATTGTATTTGTGATTGTGTTTTTTTTTTTTATATTTTTCGCAATGAAAGTTGGCAGGCAAATTAACATAAATTGAGTTATTAAAGCCACAGGAATGCGGCTCTCAATTGGCCAATAAAATGTTGACACAGTTCTGTTTTATGTCTAAAATTTATGCTGATTTTTGATCGTTATCGTTGTTGTTGTTGGGGTTTTTTTGATGAGTAGCGGGAGCTGCTACTAAAAAAAAACGGCATCAGCTGCGATTTGAGCCAAAGCATTTTCACACGCGCAGCCGTAATCGAAGTGGGTTACCAGATGCAGTCGTGCCGCATTCGCATGCAACCTGTCACACCGGTGCGCCAGTCTCTCTTCGAAAGGAGATGAGAGGTGGGGAGTTGAGTTGAGAGGGGATGAGGAAAAGTAGGGGAGACAGGGGAGGGTTGCCTCTCTGCTAAGTGGCTATGGAATTACACCAGCTTATCGATTATTGCTGCTGCACAGAGGCGTCGTCATCATAGTTGTGGCCCGGGTGGGCCACCATTATTGATAGTAGTCTATATAAAAGTGAAAGACGCGGCATTACTATTTGGATTTTGTCTATGCCTCTGGTTAGCTCTATACTGGCTCGATCTTTGGCTGCTCTCTCGGCTCCAATATTGGTGTCAAACTGCAGCGATACGTTCGAGCTACTCGCATTTGGAATGGTGCATTGTCTGCCCAAGTTTAAGTCGATGCTGATGCTGATGCTGATGCAAGTTGGGAGACGGAGTCAATGTCGGAACCAGGGGCCAGCGTCAGTGTCAGTGGCGCATTCGTTAAGTATACGCCATGTGTATGCTTGTGCCTTTTAAGTGCAGAGGCCAAACGGGTTCCTAAAACTGCTGAAAATACCTTTGTGCAAAAGCCGACAATCGTTTGACTCTTTGTTAGCTGAACTCCCCCTCGCCCCCACCTTAAGACACTGCGGGAAATTCTTAGCGACTCTGGTTGGAGATGAGCAGCAGCTGTAACCATTACTTTTCTAATGGTCTGAAGTACGCGTCACGTGCTTGGCGCATACCTGTGACTCTGCGGCAGTCACGCTTTTTGATAGCTTCATTACATGCACTTAAATCAGAAAGACACATATTTATTTATGAAAGTCACTCATACTTGAAATTCTCTCTCACATATTGCAGTTTTGTTGCTAAGTATTTTGGTCTTACCAGTCAGCAAGTCAAGTGAAATACCAGCTCAAAGACAGTGATATTCTGTGATATGGTCAAGAGTCACTTGAAAGATATCGATTTTATGACTTTAACTATTCAGCAGATAAGGTGAAAATTAAGCTGAATTTAGTTACATAAATTCCAAGATGCAAACCTCTTTTAGATCGTAATATGGTAAAAATGCAATGACAACCACAAAATTATGTTCACAATTGTGAGCATTTGCTGAGCTCAACTTTTCCATATCTAAACACAAAACTGTGACTTTTGTAAGCACCTCTCTTAGCAAGAAATAGTTGCAGTTTTTATTAAAAATCACAGCCACCTCTCAGCTGCTACGAAAATTGGGGCGCCTAGCTGACTCGGGAAGTCAGCTAACTGCATTCTCAGCTCAGTTCAGTTTAGTTCAGCTCACCTTAACTTGGCTCATTGTCGTTGTCAGGCTGGCTGGTTGGTTGGCTAGATGGGCAGCTAGACGCAGCCCTAAGGGCAATGTTGACGCCGAGCTAAGCAAGTGGGAAGTGGGCAAGTGGTGCTGCAACGAGTGGTGCAGGTGTAGCTGTGGCATGTCGCTTGTTGCAGTTGCTTTGCCTGCCACGCCAAAACGAAACAAGTGAAAACAAGTTGAGCGCCTGCAGCAGCCGCAGCAACAACAGGCGGCTTGCCCCGAAAGTGGGTCAGAGTCAGAGAGTCAGCGAGTCAGAGAGCGGTGATTGAGGAGAAGGGGGAGTCGTCGCTAAGCAGCTCTAGCTGAGATTCAGGTGGCTGGCAGGCCAGTTATGTGCGGTAGCTACACCGCACCATATTCGGGACGGGCGCTAAGGCTTTGGAATGCTGATGAGGTAGGAAACGAGAACTGCTGAATTGGCAACTAAAGGGAAGTGGAGTGGAGTGGTGTGAGGTGGAGACGGAAGGGGAGGAGAGGGGAGGGTAGACGAATGGGCGACGTCATCAGCGACGTTTTACTGATTTGCTGAGCGTCTATGTTGTTGCAGCTTGATGCAGGTTGACTATATTGACGGTTATTAGGCATGTCGAAGGCGGTCTAATGCCTTCCACATTGCTGGCATAATACCACAGCTCGTTGCAAACAACAAATTGTGGCTGTCTCTTCTTGTAGTTGTCTCTGGTTCTTGTTGTTGTTGATGTCTGTTGTTCTCTGTTGTTCACGTTTGTTGTTGCTGCTGTTCTGGTTGATGATGATGATGGGTTTTTAATATGCATTTGGTGACTGATGCACGCTTTACGGTTAGCTTAATAACAGAATGTGCAGCAATTTACCAACACACCCCGCACACCCTCTCCCTCCCACCACCTTTACAATGCGAATCTTGAAGAATCTCATGCATTCTGTGGTTTGATGATTTTACAACTTGATACGAATACAAAATGATAGCCCTTGGTAAAGGTGAATAGCACATAGAGGTTTATATCTTCTCTCTTATTGAAACTCTCTCAAATTTGAGCCAAATATTAATCCGCTGTCTTATCTCTCCATGTTTTTAATATAGCGGCTCATCCTGGCGCCGTTTGTTACAGCCACGCCCACTGTCAAATGTTTGATACGCGCACTCATTGCGATTTCCTAATACCCAATCTGTTTGGACGTTGCCAGTGCACGGCTCCCACACGCATGGTGGGAGGACTCTGTGTGGCACCGGAGGCAGATGAGACTGCAACACCAGAGGAACAACCTATTGAGAAAGCCTCCTCAACGACGACGACAACGACGACGACAACAACAACAACAGCAGCACCCACAACAAGACGCACGACGACAACAACAACAAGGACGACAACTCCTGCACCTACAACAACGCCAACAACATCAGCGCCAGTGTTGTCAGAGGATGAGCTGCCTGCCAGCGTGGAGGAGCAAATCCTAGAGGAAGACGATACCGATGCTACGAAGCTCAAACCGCAAATCACCGAAGTGGATAACGGCGAGAAAGTGGAAGCTTTGGATATGGCCCATGAGGAAACGGAACTAACCCAACAACAGGAGGAGCAAGAGAAGCAAGAAGCTGAGCAGCAGCAATCAGCAGTTGAGCAGCAAAAAGAAACAGGACCCGCAATCATTGAGCAAAAGCTGCCACAACATGTAGAAGTAGTGGCGCCTGAACAGGTATCACAGCCCTCAGAGGAGCAACAGTCCACAACTGGATCACAACAGCTATTAACACCCGCTGATTTTGCCACCGAAGCTATGGAAGGTGTGGAGCACGAAACTGAGCCAGCACCCGCCTACGACTATCCGTACAAAATTGATGATGAGTACGTGGAGGAGCATGAGATCAAACCTGAAGAGGATCAACAAGAAACGGAGGCCGAATCAGAACCTGAGGTAGTACAGGCTCCAGTGGAGGCGGCGAAGCCAGAGGTGGAATCGGAGCCCGTAACACATGTTGAGCATGAGGAGGAGCTAGAAGCATCAGGTGCACAGCCAATTGCCACAACAACTACCGATGATACCATAAAATTCGATTATGAAACACCAAGCGAGACACCAAGCGAGACAGAGACAGAGGAGCAACCGCAACAACAACGACCACAACAACAGCCACAACATGATGAGCAAGAACCCGAAATTGGCGGAGTGCCCATCGAGAAAAATGAGGAGGAGGAAAACAGCGAGACTGATGTGGAGACAGTCACTCAGAATTCGCATCAGTTAGAAGAGGAGGAGGAGGAGCCTGCTGCTGTAGCTACTGCTAATGATGATTTGATACCCGTTCATGGCGATGAGGTGGTGGAAATTGAAAGTGTGACCAATGCGCCAGAGAAGCAACCAGAGATCGTTGAACAGCTGAATGGACAGGAGGTGGAACAGTCGGGTGATCATGAGATCGAGTCTGAGACGGAGCTAACACCTCTGGCAACAGTCAATGATGAAGTTGTGGAAGAGCTGCCAGTTGAGAAGCCAGCTGAACAAGAAGAAACAGACAACGAAGCGCAATCCGAAACAAAAGCAACAGAAGCAACCGAAATTGAGGAGCCAGCGAAATTGGAGGATAGCGAAAGCCAAGCTAGTGAAAAAGAGTCAGAGTTAGAAAAGGAAAATCAAGAGGAGGAGGAGGAGACACAGAAACCCGAAGCAGAAATAGAAACAGAAGCAGATACATTAACTGAACCTGAAGCCGCAGTAGTTGAGAGCGCAACAGAATCCGAGAATCCACCTGAAATCGAGACGCAAAAAGACACAGAGAATACAGAGTTGGATACTGATCTCGAACAGGTAGAACAAAGTGCCGACATTAAGCCGATAAGTGCACAAGATGATTTAAATGCAGCCAATCAATTAAATCAAGAGCAACCAGCTGCTGAAGAAGAGACAGGAGCAGCAGAACAACAGCAGCCAATCAATGAGCAAGGGGAGAATATAGAAGAGACACAGACAGAGATCGACACCGAGACTGAAACTGAGAATGAGACTGAGCCGGAGCAGGGTGAAGCTGATGTTGATTCTGCTGTGGAGGCAATCAGCGAAGCACAACACGAACAATTGACTTACCCAACAAATGATGATGAATTGGCGCCACAGCAACACAGCGAAGAGCTGACTACAGAGCAGCTATCTGAAGAAGGAGAGCACGAGGAAGATGAGGAGTATGGAGAGGAGGCAACGACTCAACTGACAGCAGCTGAACCAGAAATCTTAAGCGAGACACAACAGCAACTCAGTCACAACAGCGAGTCTGAGCTAAATGCAAATGCAATTAAGACGCCCGAAGTGTCGGAAACAAATGCAGATGTGCCACAGACCGAGATGGTGGCAGAGGAGGTCGCTGAGTCGGAGCCAGAGCAGTCAAGCAACATTGCTAATGATGAGGTGTCGCTTGTGGATGCTGTTGGGGCGGAGACCAATCATGATGAAGGTGCGGCAATTGAAACAGTGCCAATTAACCATGATGAGCAGGAAACAACCGAAGCTTTAAAGGAGACAGAAGCAGCAACGGAGCAGCAAGAGCAGCAGCATCAGACGGAAACTGTCACCGAAGTCAGCAGTGAAAGTGGCGAGCAGCGTTTTGAAACGGAAATGGACAAAAATGAAAATGATAACATCATACAAGGAGCGGAGCCAAATGTGGATCAACAACAAAAGCCAAACCAGGCCAACGATGCAGAGCAAGAGCAAGTGGCAGTGGAGACCGTGCACCAAATTAAACCTGAAGAGACGGAGCTGCCTGAGCAACAGCAACTGGATGAATCCACAGTAGACACTGAAACTGAAACTACATTATCTATACTCGAATCCGATACCGAGGATAGGACTGATCCCACAGACACAGAGATACCAGAGATTGAAGCCGAGGTGCCAATTGTGAGTGAGGAACAGAAAACGGATGACTTTAAAGAGAGCGAGAGCATTGCGGGCATACTCAGTGATCTGATCCTGGAGGGTGATAGCACCGTTCCTCCCGTGCCATTTGGTGAGCAACCCTCTCAAACTAAGCCAATTCCGGCTGGTGCTGAAACCGAGATAGTGGAGGAACAGCAGCTGCAACAAGAACAGGAACACGAGCAGGCTGAAGTGCCCGCCATACCTGATCTTCTAGCGGAGGCAGATGAGTTACATGAGCAGCAGGAAGAACCACAGGAAGAGGTACAAGAGCAGCAATCAGAAACCGAAGCAGCTACCGAGACATCAGAGAATGAATTAGATGGGCACTTAATCACCTTCTATCCCGATGTATCCGCCGACCAAGATGTAACAGAGACGGAGTCAAGCACTGTGGACGCAGCAGAAGCTGAGCCCGATCGCACACTCTCTCCGGAAGATCTACCATTCGATTTGAGCGAGGGCTCTGGTCCGGTTAGGTTACAACAATTGGAATCGGACAGTTTGATCCTGGAGTCGACCACACTGGACACGCTGCTCGATCAAAACAATGACATTGAGCAGGAAACTTCAGCTGGTAGTCAGGCGCACGAGGAAGCCACACCCAATCCCGCTGACATTGTAGAGATCACCACACAGACAATGCTGGGATTGGCCAGTCGTGTAACGCTCATGGAGCCCGCGGCACCGGTGGTGACGACCCTAAAGCCACTAATGCCCTCTGAGGAGGCCACACCACAGCCAGCTGCCAGCTTCTCATCCGAGATTCCCGTTCTCGCTGCAGTCTCCACTCTGCCACTGCTGAGCGGCAAGCCTGGCTCAGAGCTGCGCAAGCGTGTCGATCTTGGTCTGGAAGCAATCTCACTGGGTCTGCCTTGTGCAAGCAATCGTCAGTGTCAACTGGCCGATCCACATACGGTCTGCAATAAGCGAGGCGTCTGCGATTGCGCATCAAGCCTGGAACAACAACAATGCGGTGCCGAACGCACAGGATGCAGTCCCGGCACTTTCCAGGTGAGCTTATGACTACCACTTAGGGCAACTAGACACACAAGTTATTCCTGTTTAACCAATTTCCTAATCTGTGCTTGTTTTTTTCTTTGGTTTGCAGTGTCGCTCGAGCGGCGTTTGCATCTCATGGTTCTTTGTGTGTGACGGTCGTGCCGATTGCAATGATGACTCGGACGAAGAGTGCACCCATAATGCCCGCTTGAACCAGACCTGTCCGGCGGAGGCGTTCCGTTGCGAGCGCAGCGGCCGCTGCATCTCACGTGCGGCACTCTGCGACGGTCGCAAGCAGTGCCCACATGGCGAGGATGAGCTTGGCTGCGATGGTCATCTGCGGGGTGGCAACAGCTGTCCGCCGCACACGTTCCGCTGCAAGAGCGGCGAGTGTTTGCCCGAGTACGAGTACTGTAATGCGATTGTCTCCTGCAAGGATGGCAGCGATGAGCCACCGCATTTGTGCGGCTCCCGTTCCATGCCCAATCTCTTCTTACGGCTAATCGAGGCGGGTGGTTTGCTGGCCAGTCGCAATGAGCCCGATGCTTACTGTCCGCATCGCTGCAGCAATGGACTGTGCCGATCCACGGCAATTGTGTGCTCCGGACGCGATGGGTGCGGCGATGGCACCGATGAACAGACCTGCGCCGTTTGCCGTAAGTTAAAGCTGACTGCATTATTGAATTTTATTTTCAATAAATAATCATTTAATTCACTTCCCTTCTTCTTGCAGGCTGTCCCGCCTCCAATCCTAGACTGGCCGCCTATTTGGCCAGAAAACGCCCCATGCCGCTGTGGTAAACTATATCGGATTACCATTGAAAGGTTTCGCAACACTACCTTCGCACAACATTACTATTTCCCCATCAACCACAACAACAGCAACAACACTATGTGAACCAATTTGAAATATTTGAAATTTTGTTTAGCATTTAAGTCGATGTAAAATCTATTTATTTATTTATTTTTATTATTTTGAGAAATACGCCTGCCACGCCCAATTGCCCCCTTGCTAGCAAAGGATGTCCGAAGATCCTTTGACCCAGCGATGCTGACAATTGTGCGCCCTATGCGTGTTCTCTCCGCCTAAACCCCCCTGTCACCCCCTTTTACCTATCATCAAAAAAAAGAAAAAAATTATGCATATCGCCAATCTATTCTCATTATATTCACCCACACATCCTATTTATTCTACTCATGTGCCCATTGAACTATTTATTTATTCTCACTTTTCACTACCCTACTTTAAAACAAAACTATAACAAAAAAAAAGAAGAAGAAAGGAATAACAAAAAACACACTTCATTCACCTAGGTTAGTTTTATGAAATTATCTAATTTATTTAAATTATGGCCAGGCAAATCGATCAGCGACAAAACAAATGATGCATTTTTATTATCAATTAATTTGTTTGTAAATAAGTTAACAAAATGCTTGATGTACATGATGATAAATGACTAAAATTATTGAATGAATTTTGTAAGGCTTAATGTACCAATATCAAACCCTCTACTATATATATATCTATATAAATTTGCATATATGTAGTTGCATACATTTTCTTCAAGTCAAAACGCATCAAAAAACAAAAACGTAAAACACACAATTAAGAAAACAACATAATGCATGAATGAAATGATAATAACAATAATTATAATAACAAAACGAAAGCAACTTATTTTTAAAATAAAAAAAAGTGTCTAAAAATAATAAAACACGCATTTTTTCTTTGGAATTTTAAAACTAGATATTGCGCCCTTTGGAATTTTAAAACTAGATATTGCGCCCTTTGTCAAATCTGTATCGATTTCCATGCGAAATCTTTCAAAAATATTTTCTGATCTTTATTACTCTTAAAATACGTAAAATTTACTAAAATATCTGAAGTTAATTATCGATTAAAAGACTCATAGTTTCTGCAACACAGGTCAGACCAAGTTTACCTAAAGTTACTAAGTTAACCTTAAACCCCTTAGAAGGTTTCTGATGGCAGATAAAGTGCCGCTAATTGAATTCATTGACGATGAATCAGAGGATTGTACTCAGGATTCAAAGGCATACTCTTGGATAATAGATATTAAATTAAAATCCCCTGTCATCTGTCTGCAAAGATGTCGGACCCGAAAACGAATTCTGGACCTTTTACTGTATTCGATTATCCTTATGCTAGTTATTATCTCCTATTTTATATGTTATTCCATAATTGGTATGGCTGAGTTCCAGTCCCTCTCTATCGCGCAAGTTCATTCTCAATTTGATAGTCCGGTAATGGACGGTATGTTATTATACGTCTTTTGACAATCGATTCAGTTTTGACACAGTTTTAGTTTGTTTTCCTTGTGTATTTTATTGCTCATCGACCAATCGACAATCTGTCCCGTCCAGCTGCCGATGACACTCTACGCCCAACAACAACGCTACCATTCGATCAGACAATAAATCAGACAATCCTTATGCCGCGGAACTATCTCGTGTACAACAGCCACTGCCGGATTAGCAGCCTGAATCCCTACAAGTGGGAAGTGATGCGCCATTTCAACCCCATTGCCTACAACCATTGCAAGACACGCCCACCCCTTACCCAAGTGCGCTACGATCTCTCCACTCAAGGCTACGTGTTAAGCGTTGATCCCATAGCGTTTCCAAGCTACAACGTGGGCAACACTCTGAGTTGCTGTTACCAGGATGTGGAGCGCATCAATGAGACAAATGTCAGCCTTACACCATGTCAAGCATTCACAACTAACGCTCAGCTATCCAATACAACTGACAGCATCATTGTCAGTTGTTATTCGGAAAAGGAGCAAATTTATATTAACGGACATCCAACTATTCCGGAACGGCAGGCAGTAAGAATAAGACTTAATCAGTGGGCTCACAAGGATCGAGGTAGGCGTGTGCCCAGCGTGCTGATGATTGGCATTGACAGCATCTCTCGGGTGAATCTCATACGTGCAATGCCCAAGACAGCACAGTATCTCTACGACAACGATTGGTTTGAACTGGCGGGCTATAACAAGGTGAGTAAGAAGTGTTACCATAAGGTCAACAATCTAATGATTCCCCACTTCCCACTTCCCGTCTTTTCACAGATCGATGACAACACATTTCCCAACATAATGGCCCTAATGGTGGGCTATAATCTGAGTAATGCCATGAAGCACTGTAGTCCCTACAAGGTGAATGGCCTTGATAAGTGTGACTTCATTTGGAAACTATTTAAAGAGCATGGCTATGTGACTGCTTATGGAGAGGATGCAGTAAAGATCAACACCTTCAACTACCTAAAGAAGGGCTTTCAGCAACCACCAGTCGATTACTATTTGCGTCCATATCTCTCTGCAGCAGAGAAATTACTTGGGGGCAACATAGTGCTCGGACTGCCCCACTGTGTCGGCTTTGAGACGGAAGCGGAGCACGTTTATAACTATGCTCTAGAGTTTGCAAAACGTTATCGCAACGATAGCTTCTTTGGCTTCTTCTGGACGAACACACACAGCCACAGCGACATTTCGCAGACCAGCTCCATGGACGACTATCTGAGAGGGTATCTGCAGCGTCTGGTGTCCCAGGGCACCATGGAGCACAGCATTGTGGTCTTCTTCAGCGATCATGGACTTCGCTTTGGCCCCACCCGAGCCACCTGGTCTGGTCACGTCGAGGAGCGTCTGCCCTTTCTCTTCATCTGGCTGCCTCCATTTATGCGCAAGGCACATCCCGAGTTCGTTCAAGCTCTGCAGCAGAATCGCAATCGTCTGACTACTCCCTATGATCTTCACATCACACTAAAGCACATTCTTAGCCTCTCGGGTCGCATTGGCAGTCTGCAGTCGTTGGGCGGCGCCAAAGATTGCCCCAAATGTCAGAGTCTGCTTCAGCCGGTGACGTTGAAGCGCAGTTGCGAGGATGTCGCCATTGCGGATCACTGGTGCACTTGCTGGGACTTCCAAAAGTATGATATGAACTCCAATCAACTAACTTACTTGGCCGAGCGTGTAGTGAACTATATAAACGATTATGTGAGCAACTTCGACAATGGCAGTCTGGCTAATCTCTGCGAGCCACTTTCTCTGGGGCACATCCAGTCAGCTTATAAAGCCCAGCCCAATGAAATTGATGACAGCGATATGGAGATATATTGGCTGATCTTCGACACGTCACCCAATAATGCGTACTATGAGACAACAGTGCGCTATAATCGTAGCCTCCCAGAGAAGGACAATATGCTGATTAGCCGTTCTCCGAGTCGTTTAGATGGATATTATAGTAAACCCAAATGCGTAAAAGTATTTTCTATTGAGAAATATTGTCACTGTCGACGCTAACCCAATTTGTGGAAAATACTTTAATTATAAAGTTTGATTAGAAAACCATAAAAACGTTTGCTTTACTTGCATGTTTCGATTAAACGAAATGGCAACTTATGTGTTTTTGTACTTTCAGTTTGCTCCATTGTGCATGCTATATTTTACTGTACTGCACAGCTAAAGGAACATGTACAACTTCCCCCGCTTCCCACTCACGAATTGGAGTGGTTTGTTTTTGTTTTCGTTTTGGGCAAGCACGTGCCGAAAATTGCACGCAAGCATCTACAGCGCCCTGGCAACGGAGGCAGAGAGGAGACGAATTTTATATATGGGAAATGGGAAATGCAACAGTTGTGTGCGCTGACTGAGAGCAAGCGCTGACTGCGCAGTCGCTGTAAAAGGCCCAAACAGATTAGTATTGCATACTCTTAGGCGGCACTCACAAAATGCAGCCGCTGTTTATATTTGTGTTTCGATTGTCGCTCTTGGACTAACTATCTCTCTCTCTCTCTTTCTCTCTCTCTCTGCGTACTTCGTACGTTTGAAGTGTGAATGTGTGAAAGTTCCCACACCGACACAATCAGACGCCTCAGCCTCGCTGACGCCAGCGTACAGCGTATTCTGTGTTGTTATTATCTGTTTGTCAGCCATTGCAGCAGGACACGCGGTAGTCGCTTCAAATCATTGTACATTTGTGCGTGTGGGTGTGTCTGTGTGTGTTTGTGTGTGTTTGTGTTTGTGTGCAAAATAAAATATGAAATGCACCATTTGTCATTGTGCTACATTTGGTTGCAATCAATAAAGTGCTGCGAAACAATTGCAAAATGAATACAAGTGAGTGCAAATATTACTTATATTAGCATACAAAAAGGATTGCGAAAAAGTTCTCTATACTTGTGCTCCTGTGACTCTCTATGTGTGTGTGTACGTATATGTGTGTGTGTGTGTGTGTGTTGGTGTGTATCTGAGTACACTCAGCTTGTTAGTATCTATTGTGTTTGCAATTTTTACGCTGACGCTGCAACTGAAAATACTTCAATAGAACTACTTGAGAAGCCTCTGTGTGTGTTTGTGTGTGTGTGTGTGTGTTTGTTATTTTTACTACGTCACTACGTCCTCGACATACCTATACATATGTATCCAAGTAAATACGTGTAAATACGTACGTAGTAAGCTGTAACGGAACCCTTCAACTGATTCATTTGCTGCTTGTTTCTTACAGCAGAAATGCTGTACTTTGCCACCCAGCAAGAATATAAATAATAATATCAATTGAGCAATGCATATTGGTTTGCATGTGTGCTGAAATTGTGTTTGTTTATTCAGCTTTGTAATCAATTGTTGAATTTTATTATTTACATTTTGGGGCGTCATTTAAATCCCAGTGAGAATTGTGCATATGCACACAGTATATATGAACTTATGATTAGTGTGTTTGAAGTAGATTAAACATGCTGATAATGAGTCATGCACTGAAATAAAACTGTTTTAATGCCAAAAAGTGCATGTATGCAGTATTTAGCGAGATTCAATCGACATGGGACAAGTAGAAATGTTTTCACCCAACACGCAAACAACAAACTTAAATCTATCCCCCTTATGGGGAAAAATGGGCACTGTGTGTGTTTGTAATTAAACAAAAGATGTATATTAATTATTAAAAATGTGATTTTGAACCAACAAACGTCTATGTCCTACTATTTTTGGCATCCAGCATTCATTAGCATAATTTAAAACATATGCGTAGAAAGACTGGTTTTATCAACAGTGGAACTTATTTTGTTAAACAAATAATTTGATCTATCACGTGAAGTCTGCACACAGTAATACATACAGGCAGGTTTTTATGTCTTTCTTAATTTAATTTTCAATTATACTTTCGTCTATCTTTCGATGCTTCAACAACAATCTGTTGTGTCAGAGTCGGAAATCGTGATGTTAAAAATCCCGCATTGAGCATTGTATAATTATTGCAATCATTATTGCTTCGGCAATTTGTTGCTTAGCTCATGGATACCAAAAAATAAAAAAACATGACATTAGAAACACAAAGCCTTCAAGGTGATGAGCCACGAAATTCGCTGTAATTTATGAAATTATGATTTAACAATTGATGTAGAAGAAAAAAGTATACTTCAAGATATGTATAAAAACTTGAATATTGATTTATATGAGATTAATGACTATACATTAAACCATTACTACATTGCTTATGTTTGCCCATCTAATTTTAGAATATTTACATCACAAAAAATGCACTGCGAGCATAATTACAATGTTGCCATTGTGATAAACAAATGCAAATCAATTGGCAATTGGCAATTGGCAATTCATTCACTTTCCGAGCTACAGCCGAGGGTAAAACCAAATAATAAAAATACAAAAAATAGTCGTCGTCGGACGAATAGCATCGTGATTAATCAAAATTAGCACGAGCAATAGCGCCTACGATCACGAGGGACCACCATCCTCGGTGGGGGGTAGGCAGTAGAAGAGCTGTGTGAGTTCGTCGGCAAATACTACAAGCATTTTAGTAGCTGTATGCTCTTAAGCACTCACGGATCGTTCGTCGCATTTGGCTCGCAGATCTGTCCCGGCCCGCAGCTCTTTCACGGTTTGTTTGCTCATTTGTGTACATTTAAATTGTTGTCAATATGTCGCTGTGCGAGCTCATTAAATAGTTTAAATGTACTCGCGAGAACGCTAAAATATTCAAATCGTTCTACACTTGGCAAAACTAGCTAAACTTGCTCATCTGTCGTTTATTGATATTATTATTAATGTGCCCAAGTGAAATTGAATAGAAAATAAACAAAGTTTATGTTTACGCAGACAAGCACAAAGTGGAATTGCGGAATTCAGTTGTCTGAATCGGTCTTGGCAGTGAATGTGCGGTGAGGTCTAAAATCTAAACATAGATTTACAAAAATAAGTGCAATAATTGCAGGGGTAATTCAATCATAGAGCGCATTAAACGGAAATCACAGCAAATGAGTAAGTGTTCAAGTGGTCTAACATACAGCTTACAAATAAACTTAGAAATATAATTCTAAAAGCAAGGTAGAGCCGGAAAATACAAAGATCTGACCATATTTAAATAATGGGTAAAAAGGGTATAATGGTTTTGTGCTAAAGTATGTAACAGGCAGAAGGAAGCATCTCCGACCGCATAAAGTATACATATTCTTGACAAGGGTCAACAGCCGAGTCGATATAGCAAAGTCCGTCTGTCGATTCGTCTATCCGTCCGTCCGTCTGTATGAACGCGCGGATCTCACAGAGAATATAAGAGCTAGAGACTTCAAATTTGGAATATAGTTCTCGTATACCCGGCGCAGATCAAGTTTGCTTTATCTGGGTGCAAAACTTTTTAAAGAAAAATTTGCCAATAAAACCAGAAAATATTTAACAGCTGGGTTCAGGGTATATCGCAGTCGAGCTCACTCGACTACAGCAATTCTACTTGCTAAACATATTCTTGTGAATTTGCAGTTCCTGTTATTCATTAATAAGTTTGCTTCTCTTATTTGGCTGTGTTAGCATTGAGTTAGATTGTATTCCACATGGAAGTACACACAAACTTTAAAACGAATGGGTGGGTTTGAGTCTAAAAACTAATTTAAAAATGTGAAGGTCTTATTTTGGCTTGCTTAATCAAGGCAATTGTTATTGTTACGGTACAATAACCATAAAGCATAATGTACAACAAACAATAATCACTCAAGAAATTAAAAAACAAAACAAGCTTAATAAGCAACACGGCTTATTTGTTTATCATTAGTCCGAAGAGTACTTCGGCACAGTTTAGATGGTATCTCCTTTATTTCGTAAGACATTATAACTCGATTAATTCAAATTTGGTAAGTTATAGTTATGTTGGTAAATACTTTCATGGTTAAATCATAACCTTTTTTGTATGTATTTGAAGCACAAGACAAAGCTGCATGTGTATGTATTAAATAATATATTTAACATTGTCAAACTTTTTTGTGAAACATGCGATGATAGTTGTTAAGTCAATTTTAAAGAGCTTTTCGCGTGAGGCGGCTAATTATCTTCATTACTTGTTTTAAACAGTTTCTAACTAATTTCATTGACTTTTTGGTTCTCCCTAACTCATTGTGGACGATAGGGCAATCCTAAAATGATTCCACAAGTCATCCAAAAATAGGACAAGCGATGGCTGATAAACGCCCGCTACTTGAATACACTGATGATGAGGCAAAGGATTGCGCCACGGAGTCAACCTTGACAGGAGTGAGCTACAAACCCGGTGCTTCACCCACTCTCATCTGGTACTGCCGCCAGATAGTTTTACGGCGTAAACTGCTCGTCGGCCTGCTGGTGATCTTTGTGTTCTCCTACTTCCTTATCGGACCGGCCGATGTGCTCGATCTGGAAAATGTGCAGGTCCATCATCAGTCGTATGCATTGGACATGGAAGGTACACAAACACTTAGAGGGCATTACTTGAATACGATATTCATATTTGTTATTTCGAGTTTTTTATTTTTTGGATTAACTGCTCTCATCTCTGTTGTGTGTTGTCTTCTTTTAATTCTGTTTTTGTGTGCACCGTTTCTTTTTTTCCTGTTTTTTATATCTGTTTTGCATGATGCTTATTGTGTTTTTGTTCACCCTCCTCAACCTGTCGTGTGTTCTGCTGTCGACAAGACAACCCCAACAAAACTACCAACAAAAACGCCACCAACACCAAATAGTTAATCAGACGATTGATCAGAGAACCACCATTCTGCCGCAAGGTTATCTCGTCTACAGCAACCACTGTCGGATTGTCGATCTCGATCCGTACAAACGTGACGTAATGCGTCATTTCAAGCGCGTCTCCTACAAACCCTGCCGCTCACATCCCCCACTCACCCATGTGCACTACAACGACACCATTCAGCGCTACGTGCTGAGCATCAATCAGGCATCCTTAAAATCCTACAAGGTGGGCAACGATCTCAGTTGCTGCTACCAGGGTGTGGTGCGGGCAAGTGAAACGGATGTCAACTATACTTCATGCCATGCATTCAAAAACGAAGCAAAGCTTGCAAATACCACGGACAGCGTCGTTGTCAAGTGTAAAACGAATGATGACCAAATCTACATCAATGCACATCCTACCGTACCAGAGCGAAAAGCAATCCGACAGAGACTTGACCAGTGGGCTAAGAAGGATCGACGGAAGCTTGTGCCTAGCGTGCTGATGATTGGCATTGACAGCATCTCCCGGGTGAATCTCATACGTGCAATGCCCAAGACAGCACAGTATCTCTACGACAACGATTGGTTTGAACTGGCGGGCTATAACAAGGTGAGTAAGATGTGTTACCATAAGGTCAACAATCTAATGATTCCCCACTTCCCGTCTTTTCACAGATAGATGACAATACATTTCCCAACATAATGGCCCTAATGGTGGGCTACAATCTGAGTAATGCCATGAAGCACTGTAGTCCCTACAAGGTGAATGGCCTTGATAAGTGTGACTTCATTTGGAAACTATTTAAAGAACATGGCTATGTGACTGCTTATGGAGAGGATGCAGTAAAGATCAACACCTTCAACTACCTAAAGAAGGGCTTTCAGCAACCACCAGTCGATTACTATTTGCGTCCATATCTCTCTGCAGCAGAGAAATTACTTGGGGGCAACATAGTGCTCGGACTGCCCCACTGTGTCGGCTTTGAGACGGAAGCGGAGCACGTTTATAACTATGCTCTAGAGTTTGCAAAACGTTATCGCAACGATAGCTTCTTTGGCTTCTTCTGGACGAACACACACAGCCACAGCGACATTTCGCAGACCAGCTCCATGGACGACTATCTGAGAGGGTATCTGCAGCGTCTGGTGTCCCAGGGCACCATGGAGCACAGCATCGTGGTCTTCTTCAGCGATCATGGACTTCGCTTTGGCCCCACCCGAGCCACTTGGTCTGGTCACCTCGAAGAGCGTCTGCCCTTTCTCTTCATCTGGCTGCCTCCATTTGTGCGCAAGGCACATCCCGAGTTCGTTCAAGCTCTGCGGCAGAATCGCAATCGTCTGACTACTCCCTATGATCTTCACATTACACTAAAGCACATTCTTAGCCTCTCGGGTCGCATTGGCAGCCTGGAGTCGTTGGGCGGCGCCAAAGACTGCCCCAAATGCCAGAGTCTGCTTCAGCCGGTGACGTTAAGTCGCAGTTGCGAGGATGTCGCCATTGCGGATCACTGGTGCACTTGCTGGGCCTATGGCAGCGTCTACAAAAACTCCAAGGTGGTGCGTCAGCTGGCAAAGCGGGTAGTAAATTATCTGAATGATTATGTGACCACCTTCCGTAATGGCAGTTTGGCGCATCTTTGCGTGCCACTTGCGCTGCAGAGCGTTAGTACTGCTTATAAGGCGCAACCCAATGATAACGATCCCAGCCACATAGAGATCTATCGACTGATCTTCAGTACGTCCCCCAATAAGGCGCTGTATGAGGCAACAGTGCGTTATAATAAAAACCTACCCGATGAGGATAATCTACTGGTTACCGGCTCTGTGAGTCGTCTGAATACTTATAATGGAGAGGCTGATTGCATGAATGACTTTGCCATTAAGAAATATTGCTATTGTCGTCATAAAGGCGGTTAGATAGATTGAATTGAACGTTATTACTCACTTATGTTTAAGCCCCAAAGTGCCGTTATTTGTAGTTGTGTAGGGCTAACAGTAGAAAACGAATTTTAATGAATATAGTGCCGGGTGGGCGTTAACACCAGACTCGGATACATTTCCAGAGTAGCAACGTGATAATATTTACATATACATATAATGTACATAAGCTAGATACATATTTGCTCACTCCTTAGACTCTCTTTAAATACATACTAAATATATACTCTGTATTTAATTCCATATATTTATCTCCCAATTAAGCGTTTGCCAAGATTTCAATTAACTGCATATTCAAAACTAAGTTTGTCGTATGAAATACGAAACTAATACTTAAAAAATATTATCGTATTATGTAATAATTGGATTGTTATAAAAAATGAGCTAATTCGTAGGAAATCCCTGACTCGTAAATAAATATTTAAAAAATGAACACAAATTTGCATTTCATGAGTAAACGAAAGGAACAAAATACTAATTCGAAAGGAACAAAATACATATCTGTTCATATAGATATTGGCGCTGGCTCATGTGGAAAATATATGTATAACAACAACGAAGTCGAGAATTGCAATAGATTTATTTGTTCAAATAATGGTCGATGTGTGAGTAAACTAAAATTTTAAAGATATATAAACGACAAGTGATATGTTTATAACTGTTAAGCAATAATTAGAAGTTTGGCCTTTTTGATATTGCAATTCTCTTAAACTCATTTCACTATATACATATATATATGCATATATATATATATTGATTTCACAATAATCTGTTGTAATTGGCAAGTCGTTTATAAAAATATTTCGTTTCATTTTGCGCTTGATACTCATCGCTGATACTTTAAGTTATTAAACTTATCCTTAAAGTTGTAATTGCAGAGCATGTTTTTCAACGATTTAAAGAATTTGGTCAGCGGACTAAGTCGTTGTAGACCCAGATCGTCACCAGGCATTGGCTGCAGCTCCAACCGCAGCTCCTTATAGTCCGGCGCAATAACCAGCGAAAAGCGACCTTTCAGATTAACTGCATTGTTCCCATTCTTGGCGCGTGTTTTCAAAAAGTCAAGAGTCTGCTGCGTTTGTACGGCAAAAAATGAAATCTTTGTGGAGCGTTGAAAATTGCGACCACTCCACGTATCCAGTTGGGTTTCAATTAGCCAGGTAAATCGTCGCGGCAGTTCACTGGGCTTAAAGCGTTCTTCTGGATCAATTAGCGTCATCTTTAACTTATAAATATTTGCCAAAAAATCCTTAATGGCAGCCACATAGCATTCCGTCCAGTAGTAAAAAATTGATCGTTTTGCATTTGGATTCTTTTTAATAAAATCAGCACGCAACCCTTTCAGGTCATTATTTGAGGGCTTCAGTATGCAGAAATGCATCAGTGGCAATCCACTGTCGGTCGAGCTGCTGGATGTTAGTCTCTCTGTTGCAGTTGAAGCTAATTCAGTCACAGATTCAGCAGCTGCAGAATTTGTTGTTGGTGTTGTTGTTGCAACTGCTGGTTTTGTTCTTGTTGTTTTTGCTGCTGTTGGCATCTCCTCCCGCATTTGTCTGCTCATCTTGGCCGGATGCACTGCTTTCTCACGCTGGGCCTGCAACAGTTCATCGGCCAAGCCAAAAAGCAAATAGTCATAAAGCTGAGCAGGCGATGATAGAAGCTTTGCATCGGTGCAAGCCTTATAGCCAAATTTCAAACATTGCCGCAGATAGGCGAGATTTGTTGGCGATATGGACTGGCCTACATTGTGTTCCAACTCAAAGGGATCCTGTACGCAAATGCAACGTTCACTTTGAAACGGCTCTGGCTGCTCGCCAGTCACTTTCTGTATGGTTTTCAATTGCTTTTCATATTCCGGAAAATTCTGAGACAAAGAGCACGGTGTTGTCAAGTCCAGTGCATATCCCAAATACGGCGACAGCAGCTTCTTATCAAAGTCCATGCGACTGTATAGCTGAAAGAAACTGGTGATGAGATCCAAAGTGGTCAAGCTGTCCGGCAGCTGTGGGACCTGCTGCAAACTGAAGCCATAATTAATGCCCATAACTTCCTGCACTGGGCAGCATGCCTGCATCTGCCTAATGGACGGGAAGTATTTTCGCTGCTGCATGCCATAGATGATGAGGACAGCCAGACAATAGCTAGTCATGCTGCCACTGCAGTTAATTATCTTCAACTTCTTGGCCCACAACTTGAGGAACAGGAACAGCTCGCGTATGCGCACATCAAGACGCAATAGCGCGGCAATAAAACATGAATTGTAGGTGCTTTTCGGACTGGTCATATTGATATCGATGCTGAGGCCGCTCACAACATGCATGAAGCGAATAATGGGCACACGAGCATGTCGTCTGGCAACCACATCATCAAAGCAATCGTTGCGACGCAAATAACCAAGGATCCTGTCGAACAATTGACGGTGAGACATGGCATTTGAACTGGTGTCCGTGTGCTCTAGGTAAATGTCAATGTCGCTATCTAGAAAGTGAAAGAAGTGAAGCGTAAGAAAAACGCACATATGAAGTGTGGCATTTACAAACCTTTCAAGACCAATCCTGTTACAAGGGAACCAAAGGGATAGACCCTTGCACGGCCCTGCAAAAGCCGAGTTATGCGATCTTGCACCTCGTCAAAACAAAGCGCCATCATATTGCAATTACCCGAATAATAAGACAATAGAGTAGAAAACTGTTGTCCGGGCTGCTTTTGGGCGAGCAGCGATTTCAGATCGCGACGTTCGGATTGGATTTGCTCGCTGGCAAAGAGCTTTGCGACGGCGTCCAAACAATCGCGCAATTTCCTCTGTGATTGACGTTTGTGCTTTGCCAGCCTGTGGGCAAGGCAATCTTGGAATGAGCTAAATGGCTCATCACACAAATTGCAGTGAATCACTATCGCATTATCTTGAGATGCTGTTGTGTCGCTCATTTCTGTAATAATAAAATTTTAAAAGCAACGACTTGAAAACAAACAAATTGGAACAATTTATTTACGGGACGCAGTAAAAACTAAAAACATTCGATTCACACAAACAATGATCACACTGTTTTTTGAATTTAAAAAGACAACGGCCTCTTCGATCTTCTCTCAATCGCGCGCTCAAAGTATCGTTTATCGATGCAGCCATCGATGCCAGCGCATAAAATAACATTGTTGCTGGATCGAAACATTGGCAGCTGATCGCCCAGCACTTTGGCAACATTCAAATAAATCAGCACTTGGCAATCGCTACGAAAACCGCTTAAAACTGCACGATTATCGCCATCGCCGTTGAACAATGCGAAATGGACATGATTCCGTTGCATACGTTTGAGGCCTTCGATTTTGATGCGCTCCCAGTTGCTATAGTAGGTGCCATGCACCACAGCCGAAGGCAGCTCGGAGATGCTCCCAATGCGTTCCATGCAAACCTCCGACTGCACCGCTTTCAGCGAATGACCCTGATTGGCGCGAATTTCCTCAGCACCCGTTAATGGATTCGAACGCAGCGTGTAACGCTGCTTAGCATCAGTTGAGACAATCTGCCGCAGTTTTTCTCTGGTGTATTGCGAACCGAAGCGCGAATGTTTTAAAATCTCATTGATGCTCACAAATCCATCGGGCTGTATTGTTAATCCTTCCTTTTGTGCACCATGACGCAGCAGCCATGAGAGTTGCTTGCTCAGTTGCACATTCGAGTATGTTTTATCCATTACCATAGATTGCCAATTGTTATTGTGACTCACTTGCGAAAATGTGTTGTGTTGCGCGAATAAACTTATTAACTTAACTTGTGAAACTCATTTTAGAAAACAATACGGCCATGCAAACTTGCCGACTACATTTTAATAAATCGATAACTGGATATGCTGTGACGTCGTAGATGACAAAGCGCAACAAGTTCAGAGACAATTTTAAGATCGATAATAATGTATTTAAAATGTATTAATATATTTATATTATTGCAGCGGCATATTCTCTTTAAATTGCATGCAATTTTCTTACTATGTTTGTTCTACCATTTTAAATGCTCTCTGCATTGCGTTACCTTAAACACTGCAGACCATGCCCATTAACAGCTGACAAGCCGGCCTTGTGTGCAGTTTTCACATTGTTTTTCGAAATTCGTTGAAATTAAAAATTATGCGTCTATTGGTACTCTATGGCAGTCAAACTGGCACCGCCCAAGATGTGGCCGAACAGATATGGCGCGAATCGCGCCAATGGGGTTTCCAGGGCCCAGTGCTCGCGTTAGAGGACTACAATATACAGCAGCTCATCGAGGAGCGGCTCGTGATATTTGTGGTGGCCACAACGGGTGATGGCATGGAACCTGACAATATGAAACAGGCCTGGCGCTTTCTACTCAAGCGCAGCTTGCCGAGCAACTCACTGGATGGTCTGCAATTCGCGTGCCTTGGATTGGGTGACTCCAGTTACTCAAAATTCAACTATGCCGCCAAAAAGTTGCACAAACGTTTACTGAATCTGGGTGCGAATTCTGTGTGTCCCCTGGGATTGTGTGATGATCAGCATGACTACGGACATTTGGGCACATCTCTTGCTTGGACAGCGGATCTCTGGCAGACGCTAAGTGGCACATTGGCGGTGCACAAGCAAGATGAGGTCACCGAGGTGAGGAGATGGAATGTGCGTGTGCTGGAAGAAAAGCCTGCTGTGAATGAGGAGCGCCTGCATTGGACACAAAGGCAGGAGTCTCTCATATTTAAACTGATCGAGAATCAGCGCACAACTGCCGCGGATCACTTTCAGGATGTGCATTTGCTACGACTCAGCAACGAGCAGGCAACCTGGCAACCTGGCGATGTTCTCGACGTGCAGCCACAAAACAGCGCTGAACATGTCCGGGAGTTCTTTGAGTTGCTCAAGGAACACAAGCTCGATTTCAATGCCAGAACTGTGGTCGAAGTGAGTAGCGCCCACAAAGATTTACCTCTCCCTTTGGCCTATGCGTCGCCCATCTCACTGCAGCAGGCTGCCAGATATATTTGGGATTTGAGCGCCAGGCCGCGGCAGCGCTTTCTCGAGGTGCTCGCCCAGAACTGTGAGGATGAGTTGGAACGCGAAAAACTCCTGGAATTTTGCACAGCCGAAGGTCTAGAGGATTTAATAGCCTATGTGAATAGGCCACGTCGCATGGTGTTGGAGCTGCTGCAGGATTTCAGGCATGCGATGGCTAAGCTGACGCTGATGCAGCTCTTTGAGATGATGCCATTGATACAAACGCGCAGCTTCTCCATTGCCTCCGATGTCTCGACGGGCACACTCGATCTATTGGTCGCTGTGGTCAACTATAAGACCATAATGCAGGCGCCACGATTGGGTCTATGCTCCAATTGGCTGAGTGGTTTGCAAACAGAAAACGAGCTACGTGGTTTCATCAAGCCGGGCACGATGAGCTGGCCCAAGGAGTTGGACACACCACTGATTATGATTGGACCTGGCACTGGAATTGCGCCCTTTCGCAGCATTATTCAGCACAGGTTGCATTTAGATCAGACGGGGAGAAATGTGGGTAGACTCGTTGTGTTCTTTGGTTGCCGCAACCAGACCCAGGATTATCACTTTGAGCAAGACTTCAAGACGTGGCGGGATAATCAAAGTGTTGAGGTGCATGTTGCCTTCTCGCGAGATCAAGAGAATAAAGTTTATGTACAGCATCTGATCAAAAAGCGCGCCGCGTTTCTAGCTAAGCTCATCCGTGAAGAAAACGCTTATGTCTATGTGGCAGGCAGCTCGAACAATATGCCAAAAGCAGTCAGGGAAGCATTCATTGAGGCACTCGACAACGATGCCGTCTACATGGAGCAAATGATAAAACAGCGACGCTATCAGGAAGAAACCTGGGCCTAAAGAATTAACCGACCAAAGGAGTATTTAACTATCTCTCTGATTCCTAGTTTACAAATGCATAATTATAAGTTTATATATTCAATTTGTTGGACGGACTTTGTAAATACATCACTTTTAACAATATGATATGTACTTTAACTACCAGTTTACCTAATTCTTGTTGTGTGACATTTAAAAGTCTTCCAGCAGCTTGTCCGTGGAGGTGCGACAGAAAGGACAATAGCCCTTCTGCAGCACCTGCAGCTCAAAGTCCTCGGCGTAGAATAACTGCAAATATATTTAAATTGAATTAAATTCAAGCTAACTGAGCAAAGACTTACCAGCAAACACTCGGAGCAGTAGGTAACCTGCAGATCGGGCAGTATATTGCGATAGTAAATGTTGCGTCTTTGCTTTCGCTTGAGTATCAGGACATGATTGGGATCAATAGCGCGCAGCGCATGGCGATCTAAACTCAAAGGAAGCGCGCTGGCGACATCTTCATTGAATGGATCTGCATCCTCTGGATTTTTGGCGGGCGCCAAAAGCAAACGTTCCGCCTCGGAATCGGTTATATCCACCTCCGGATGGAATTGTACTAAAGGCAAGATTTCTGCAAGACACCATAAATATTACAGATAAATTATAGATTGATGAGAGGATTCGCACACTTACCAAATGAAACAAAGGAAAATATATAGTCCTGTCTGCAGGTGGGACAGGTATTATTATTTAAATGCTGGCTATAGTTCGAGCACTTGTAGCATAACGGCAGCAGCTCCTCGGGATCATTGAAGCCACTCTTGCACGCCTTGCTGTTCAGGAAATTCAGCTGTGGATTAAGTGATGATTTCTGAGTCAATGATACCCTGTGAATAATTAGATGCCCCCAACTCACATCGATTTGCTCTTGAACGCCCGCAGGCGGTTTGAGTGACTGCAGACGCTTGTTGACCAGCAGGCACAGCTTGTTGGCCTGCAGCAATTTGGCTTGTTTGGCCAGCGTGAAGAGCACCGAACTGGAAGTCACTCACAATTAGTTGTGTATTAAATATTTACATATTTCTATCTATGCTTCACATACAACATGCTGACGCCCTTTGGCGCGCCCTTGTTCTCCACCTCGTTGAAAATGAAACGGCTCACGTTGAAGAGACTGACGGGTGAATGGGTGGTAAATGGCTCCTTCATATAGCTGAAGATGACGCTGTAGGCGTAATATACTTTTGCAATGCGCAAATGGTTTTTGTACTCGTTGAGATGATGATCAATGGCATTTTGCTCACTACAATTAAATAAATAAAAGAGCTTAGTAGAGATTTTGTAATTTATATATATATATAACAGATGCCTACGGTTTCTCGTGATATATGTCCAGATATTGTTTGGCCAGTAGCCAATAAAAGTAGCTGGCATCCAGGTAGCGCTCCTCGACAATGGCTGTGTTGCTCAGTTGCTTCAGCAGACGATTTGCATCCTTGGTGCGTCCAGCTTTTAGATAAGCTGCGAAAAATAAAAAAAAAAAACAGAATTATATTTCCTACTTGTTCTTTGCAACTTGTGGCGCAACTCACCCTGATGCGCGTCAATAAATTGATCCGTTTCTGCCAGCCACTGTGCATGCTGGTAATGCACGTTGGGTAACAGCTCTGGCAAGGCTTCGGCCAAACGGAAGGCTTCGGTCCAGTCCTGGACCTCGACATGCAGCTGCACCACTTGCGCCTCGTCGCCCAGCTTCTTGAACATCTCGGCGGCCAGCGGTAAGGCCTTCAGTGTCTTCAGATTCTGAGCCACCGATTGGACAGCGTCGCGTTCGCTGAGGCTCAGACGTCGTCCAATATCATAGAGGCTGCAAAACGGTTCTAAATCAAATGGAAGATCTCGAAAAATAGATTTTAACTTAAGCTTACACATCTGCCCAACCCTGCTCGGCGACAATGTCAATGGCCTTTTGGTGTTCGCCCGCGGAGAGGAGCAGCTCGGCAGCTGCACGCGGCTCCTTGACAGAGTAGGCCCACTCGGCTCGCTTGCGCACCAGATCCCGTTTCTCCAGTTCGCTACCATCTTTGAGATACTCCTGCGCCAGATCAAACATTCTCAGATCTGTGTACATTTCGAGCGCTCGATTCGTTTGATTGCATTTGAGGAAGAGACGCGCTGCCTCCTTGAATTTCCCCGCAAAGGCACAACTGTCGCCCAGCAGCACCTCCTTGGGTACGGTGGCGCGTTGCTGTTGCTCTCGCAGCTCACTGATCACCTGCAGCCAAGGCAAATTGCGCACCTTGACGTACGCATCCCGGGCAATATTGATGTGCAGCGCCTCCAGGGCAGATTGTGCCAAGCCCTCCCAGTCGCTGGTGGTGACACCCAGGCAGGCCACCTGGTATGCCTCGCTGCGGCAAAGCGGAATACATTTTGTTTATATTTTATATATATATCCAAGTATCCCTCCCTTAAGGATCTACTTACTCAAACAGGCCCGCCTCGATGAACTGCCACATTGTGGCGCCCAGAGCCAGTGGTGTATTATGCATTATATTGCCACGCAGACAAAAGGCCGTTGCACCACACAAGCCCACAACGACGCCATGCATATTCTGCGGTGCCCTGGGCGGTAGATTGCCAACGCGTACGCTCAATCCACCGCTGGTGTGTGTATAGCAGAGCATCGTGTCCAGATGTGTGTTCCAGGTGACACTATTTACGCCCACATCCTGATAGAGAATGCTATCGTTGAGCAGATCCCGCACCACCAGTCGTCCAGCGTCATCCACAACAGCGATTTTGCTGCGATTCGCATTGATGTCCAGACAGCGGACTGCGGACACTGCCGTCGTAATCAGCAGTGGCAGGGAATTGTTTAGAAAGATGCGAAAGACCTGTCCGTTCTTCAGACCAACCATGAGACCCTCTCGTCCCGGCGGACCGCCTGTCACCTTAATGTAACGTATGAACGAGTCCATGATCCATTCTCGCTGCAGCGTACCCTCAAAGTCCAGGCATTGCAGTCGCTTCTCCTGACACAGGACAATATGCAATCCGCAGACGACCAGCAAGCTGCAATCGAACTTCTGTTGGATCTTTTCCCTGACCTTGTAGTGCATGGGCTCATTCTCTGTGGAACTCAGCTCGTAGAGCACAACACGTTCCGGCAACTGCACAGCCAGACGATTCCTGTAGATGGCTATTTTCTGGACAAGATCACGGCACTTGATGCGCACCTTTTGACCCGACATCAGGTGCTGAATGATCACATCACACATATTCTCACGAAAGGCATAACGCTCCCGATACAGAGCATGCACCGTGCTCGAAGCAATGTTGAAAGAGGCCAAAGTGCCATCCTGGCAGCCAATCGTGTAGGATTGTCCATTCGGATGCAGTGCCACCGACCAGATCCACGATTCGAAGCCATCACCGAGAGTGCCCAATCGCACGCCGTCTCGGGTAAAGAATTGCAAGTTGCTTGTGCAGCCGCCGACGACACAAAACTCTCCATTGGGAAAATATGACATGCAGAGCGGATCGAATCCTAGAATGCGCTCCTTGCCAATCATTTGGCCACTGAGCGTGTGAAACGACAATGTCTGGGACCAATCCGCAACGGCAATGGTGTCCACGCTGCCAGCACCATTTACCGGACAGCATTGTACGGCATAGATGGAGCTATTGGCTCCACCCGGTCGATCAATGCGTCCCTTTTCCTCACCCAATTTACTGCGTATGGATATGCTGCCATTTGCCAGACCAAGTATCAAATACTGTCCATCATTCGTCCACGCGCAACCATTGACACGCGATCCGATCTTGTACTTTTGCACAGCCTTCTGATCCGCCGACCAGAAGGCAAAATCCGATGTGGAACACGACGCCAAATGATGCGAGACGGGATTAAAGCACATGCATTGAATAGAGTCGCCGTGACTGCAGGAAGGAGAATTAGTAAAGTGATAATTTTAATAAGAAAACCTGCTCCACTTACGAGTACTTGAGGAGGCCCTCCAGTTGTGGCGACCACACAATGACCATTTTATCTGCGGCGCCACTTGCAAAGCGTTTGCCATCGCGGGAATAAACCACCGAGTTTATAACATCCTTGTGGGCCTTTAATGTGTTCAGTAGCGAGCCATCATTGGGATTGTAGATGAGCAGACGCTCCCCTGCTGCAACCACTAACTGACTGCCATCCGGAGCATAGCAAACGGAATGAACACTACAAAATAGAAACAGAAATGCAAATCACAGCAACTGGTGTTTATGCTCATCTCTGATGTTACCTGGTGTTCTCATCTTTGGCATTCGAGAATTCGATGCGCTCTAACCATTTGAGCACGCCACGCATTTTATATTTTATTGCAATTACATATAGTCGGTAGTTTTTCCATTTTATTTACGTTTTGTTTGTGGCCAAAACAATAAAAGCTGCCATGGCAACCAAAATGCCAAGCAAGTATCGATAAGTGTGGTGAGTATAACACAAGTATCGATAGCAATGTTAAGCAACAGCTGATCTGTTAAGACTCTGGTATGAGTGTGTTTCACTTTGCTGGTGTAGTGCAAAATCAAAACAATGAATAATTTGGATAGTTCGGTGCAAGCGCATAACAAATTGGAAAAGGAAACAACCAATTTAGTACTACTAAAAGATCGTGTAGACAAGTATCATGATCTCTCCACGCAAATGTCCAGCATACTTACGATCTTCGAGAAGCGTTTGGGCAACTTGGAGCAAACCATTCTGCCAGTCTATCAGGAAACGGAACAGTTGCAGAAGCGACAGCAGAGTAAGTAAAATGATAACTGAAAGCAATTTAGTGTTGACAACGCCCCATTCATTCATTCCAGATTTGGAGGCCACTCTGAACTGCCTGGAGAGCGTGCTCTCCCACTACGATGTGTCACAGGAGGTTTGCCAGCTCATTCATCAGGGCCCCATCGAGGGCAACATTGGAGCATTTCTGGACGCGTTGGCCAAACTGCGTGCCGCCATGGATTACTTTCTGCACAATAATTCACAGAGTGTGGAACTGGAGAACGTGACCAGTTTGTTTAACACTGGCTGCGAGGGTCTCAATCAGCATTACAGCATGCTGCTAAAGAAGCACAGTGCACCGCTGAAGCCAGTGGAACTATTGGATCTGATCTACATCGAGGATGATTCATCCAGCGATGAGTTTACATCATTTCGCCAGCTATCGCAGAGCACTCGCGAGGAGCTATTCACCATATCGCTGTGGCTGGAGCAGAATATGCGTGAATACACACAAATTTATGCAACGGAGCGTGGAGATGTCGTTTTGCGCTCTCTGCAACTGCTAAAGGATCATCAAAAGAGCAGCAGCTGGGGCAACGAAGCATTGGTGAGTACTATTTGGATAATATTTTAAGAGTGGGCCACTCTACTTTGTTGCTCAAAGAGCGAAGTAGTTTTATAGTGAATGCAACACTGTATTTAGTAAAAAGTTCGTCTAACGGCAGTTTTCCCAAAAGCTTTAGCTAATTGCAAACGAAACTCAAACTTCGTCGCCATTACTAATTGAACACTTTTCAAGAGCGCATCGTGTTTTTTTTTGTTTGTGATTTTTGTCTTTGTCTTGTGTAAATTGTAAATTGATAAAAAACCAAAAAAAAATGGCGGAATTTTGCTCACCGAAAGGCAGATGCCCATTGGCAGTCAGACGCTCGAACAAGACCAAAGAGCCGACCTTTCGGAACACGCTGACCGTGGGAAACCTCAATGTGCGCTGCTCCACGCCCATCTTGGGCCACGTGCGATCGCCCAATTTGTCACCCATTAATGATGTGCGCACGGTGATAAGTCCAGCATCTCCAATGATTTTTAGAAAATTGAATAAACAACAAGATAAAAAGTCGGCAGCTATGGCAAAGCAATCAGGAAAGAAGAGCAATGGGAAGGATGAAGATACCAACATGAGTTTGGACAACTTCTTGGATGACTCAAGTACCGGCACCCCGGAAACATCATTGTGCCGGGAGACGCGTCGTCGTTCGTTGCAAGCTACGAATCACTCGTTTGTCCTCAATCATGCCACCAATGTGAAGGAAGTGCTGATCCTTGTCGGCCTGGAGACCTATCTGGATAAATTCGATGCATCGCATATGGATCTGATCGATTTGGTGTCCATGAAACGTGATGATCTCAAAAGAATAGGCGTGCGCAAGGATGAAGACTGCAATCGCATACTAGAAGCCCTCAATGATATCTGATCTTTGTATTCCCAAAGCTGTCAAGCTATCGCCGGCTGATCCGCTTGCCAAGCTATCCAGCATTTTTATATATCTATTAAGAATTAAATCGAAATTTTTGTAAACAACGGAATAAATTCCAATTTATTAAATTTTATGTTCCTCACATTATTAAAAAGTCTTTTCAATATCGCATGATTACTGTATATATAAAGTTTCAATAGGAAACACTACAAAAGTTGATTGGCTTCTCTTTCTTGACTTTATTCGGCTGATTTTTACAGAGATCACGTCACAGCGGTCGTCAAAATGAGCCTAAGAAGAACACCTCGGCGCGACTGCAGCAAATGTAAGAGTTCCTCATCTGCAGATGTTTAACGATAGCAACTGATTCAATACCTTTTTGTCTTGCAGCTTTGAGAAGAAGGCCAACAAGTTGTATTTGCGGGCCACACAAACGTTTGAGCAGTCCACCGGGTTCTCCATTAAAAAGGCCTCCTCACACTCGGATCATCTGACATCCGAGGATATGCTCGATGGCGATCAGGAGTTGGACAAGTATTTGGTCATGTTGCTCGGCCTGCAGCGTTTACTCAACTGGGAACGCGCCATTATGCGCGACATTATACCGCAATCCAAGCACAATGAGGTCTTTGCACGTCTCGCCTACAATGCCATCGAGCTGGTGGTGAAGGATGCGGAGGTCATCACACAGCGCATCCTACGCTGCATTTCACGCAAGGAGTGGACCTCAGCGTTGGGTATTTTCTCGGCACTGAAACGTGTCATCCTCCTGCAGCCGGACATTGAGCGCACCTACGATGCCGCCCAGCGACAACAGTTGACCAAAGTGCTGAACAAACTGCAGCAGACTGGCGCCAAGGCATTGGAACACTTCCTGGACGTTGTCAAGGGCGAGTCGAGCACCAACATTGTCGGCCAGAGCAATGTGCCCAAGGATGCCACCGTGCACGAACTGACCTCAAATACGATTTGGTTCATCGAGCATTTGTATGAGCACTTTGATGTAATTGGCGCCATACTTGCCCAGGATGTATTGTACTCCACGCAGCTGGATACCATACTGATGAAGAAGGCACTGCCCGGCGAGGAGCGCAACAAGGCACTCTTGGCCATATACATAAGTGAGATCAGTTCTTGTATCTACTATCATCAATGTATTTAATGTATCTCTTTTTTTTTTTGTTGCTTTGCAGAGAAAGCGCTCGCCGAGCTCAATCTATCCATAATGAACAAGTGCGAACAGTATAATGATCAGGCAACGAAGCATCTATTTAGACTTAATAACATACATTATATACTCAAATCACTGCAACGCTCCAATCTGATTGATTTGGTCACGTTGGCAGAGCCGGAGTGTGAGCACAGTTATCTGGAAATGATACGTGAGCTAAAGACGAGCTATCAGAAGACTTGGTCGAAAATGTTGGCGGGTATTTACTCGGTCGAGGAGCTGCCCAAGCCAGTGGCTGGCAAGGTTAAGGACAAGGATCGCAGTGTGCTCAAGGAGCGCTTCTCGGTGCGACAAATGCTTGACCCAAACTTAAGTCAACAACTTCTAACAAATTTTTGTTTTTCAGAACTTTAACAAAGACTTTGAGGAGGCTTGCAAAATACAGCGTGGCATTTCCATACCTGATGTCATCTTGCGTGAGGGCATCAAGCGGGACAATGTGGAGCACATTCTGCCCAATTACAATCGCTTCTTCGAGATGTAAGCTAGAAAGTAGTTGACTTCAATTGCATTTAACTACTTAAATTTATATGTATATTGCAGGTATGCCGCTGTGCAGTTTAGTAAGAATCCTGATAAGTATGTCAGATATCGGCCGCACGAGATAAATGCAATGCTTAGCAAGCTATTCGATGACTCTGCCTAGGCAGATAGCAGCAAACCATTCCCAAATTTATACGTTCGTTCGGCTTTTTAATTCCAACACAATAAATATCGATTTAAAAAAAATATACAATACAATACGTAATAGACTGTAGCCTAAAAATATTAAATGCCATTGTAAAATTGTAAATAACGCCCGACAATCGATTAGTAAAGGAAATTGGTTGAGGGCGCCTCGGGGCGTCCACAGGCGCCATAGTGATGCACAGCCACCGTGCTATTGGTGCGACAGTTCTCGATGTCCAGGAAGCAGTCATTCAAATATGTCTTGTTATCATTGCCACAAACCGGCTCAAATTCCCGGGGACAGATGCGGGCACAGCCCTGGAACTGGAAGGCAGCCAGGCAACGCTTGAGTGGCACGACAAACACATGCTTGCCACAGTTCTCCTTGCGCATGTGACACTCGGATTTGTAGAACTTGTTATCCGAACCACAAACAAAATTCGGCGGCTGGGCATCACAATCGGAGTCACAGTCGACGGTTAGGGCGCAGTTCTTCAAGGAGACGGGCACCACGCGCAGATTGCAGGTGCGTCGCTTGAACTCACACATGGAGGCGAAGGTGTTGCCATCGGAGCCACAAACCGGCTGCTGTCGCATATCGGCACGTGTGCACGCATCTCCACAGTCCTTGGCCGGTGAATTTAGATCCGTGCAGGGACCAATATGCGCCAGATTAACGCCGCGTCTACAAACACGAGTCCAACGATACAAACACAAACAAGGATTTTGGTATACTCTGATCACTTACAAGCAGGTGGCGTGGGCGAGTTCACACTCATTATTGTAGGTTTTGGCATCGGTGCCGCAGAGTTTGTCGTTGCGCTTCGAGCTGAATATGGAGCCAAAGAGATTGTTAAAGTCCTTGCAGGGCGGTAGCTGCTTGCAGCGTGTCAAGCGATTTTTGCACTTATCCATGCTCATCTTCTGTATGGACTTGCGTTGCGGTCTGGAATACAGTTTGTAACTATTGCATTTAGAATCAGCACTACATAATTTAGTTAACTGCATATTTATGCGCTTAAGACTTACCCACAGTTGAGCATCTTCAGCTCACAGAGTGATGAGTAGATGTTGCCATCGCTGCCGCACACATACTGGGATGTGGCATCCGCATCCGATTTGGGGCACTCGGTTGGGCACGTCTCGGCTGCCGATTGACTGCCATGTCGTTCTTGTGGCATGCAGAAGGAGAGCGGCACCTCGAACACATGCTTGCCACAGTTGGTGGAGCGCATCTTGCAGGGACTCGCATAGAGGCGACCATCGGAGCCACAGGTGGGCCTTGCCACACGCCAACAGGACTCGCGACACATCCGCGTCGATTGGCAGTGCTTGCGACTGGTCTTCACCACACCTTGGCCACACGTATGCAACTTCATCTCGCACGTGGAATTGTAAACGTTGCCATCGGAGGCACAAATGGGTCCATCCTTGGGAGCACTGTTGCAGTCAACGGGGCAGGACTCGCGCTGAGCACTGGTGTTGCTGCAAGGACCCACATGCGACAATTTGACGGCGGCCAGACCAACACGACAGGATTGCACGCGCAGCATGCAGCGATTTAGATAGGTGCGTCCATCGGTGCCGCACACTGGATCCTTTTCGGTGGTGCAGCGATGCTTGCAATCGGAACCCTTGGAACGCTCACAGCCATCGCGTACATCTTTGATCAGGGAGACACCGTTGCGGGAGCAGGTCTTCTTGCGCAGCTCACAAAGATTGGCATAGATGAGGCCATCGCTGCCGCAGACGGGCTCAGCGCCCACCGTCAAACTGGGCGGACAGGACCGCGGACAATTGTTGTTGCCCCCGCTGCTGGAGGCACTCGACGCCCGATGCTGCCGGCCCAGACTTAGCTGCTGCTGCTGATCCGCCTCCTCCTGCAACAGATTCTCTAGTGCTGCCGCCGCTGCTCCTGGCGCCTGCATCAGCGTCGCCGACAACTCAGGCTGTGCATCCTGGCGATATTGGATCAACAGCGAATCCGGCGCTGCATCCGCGTTGCGGTAGCGTATCACAGGCGCCTGTGCCGGCAGTCTAATAATCTTAATGGGCGAGTCTGTTACGGCGCCTACAAAGACACAGAGTATGAAAGAGAGTGTGTGTTTTTGTGAGAACGAGAGCGAGAGAGAGATAGAGATAGATATAGAGACAGAGAGAGAGAGGGGGGAAACAGTTCTGTTCTGTTTGCTTCGTTCGACATGCGGAAGAGCCGCCACTGGGCATATCAATTTCGGATTAGCTTCCAACTCAGGCAAAGTATTTTACGCAGTTGCCAGTTTCACATTTGTTGCTTGGCCCATGGGGCAGCTGGCTGCGTGTCGTGCCACGCAAGTGCTGCTCATCGCAAAATACTATCCCAAGAAATCCACTTGGGAACACTTCCAAGTTTTCAAACAGCCATAACTCTGTCAAAACTTAAATTTTGAAAAGCAAGGGATTTTTAATTATGGATTGAACCCTAGAATAATACTACATTTAAAGTTGGAAACTCTAGTTCAAGCTGGAAATTATACGCTCAAAAAGTGCCTGAAAACAAGGGTCCAAATCTTCCACAGACATAACTTTCAAAAACTAGAGTTTTTCTTTGGTTCATGATTAGATCCTTAAAATAATACTACATTTAAATTCAAAGCGTTCCAGAACTATGATTGGAAACACGTTTTTTTACTAAAAAGAAAAACTAAAATCGATTATAGGCTCGTATGCTCCACAGTTATAAGTTTGCCAACACCTTTCCCCTTAAGTTTTTGATCACGTACAGGTTTCGACGACTAGTTGTGTAATTTGCATAGTCCGCCATTAGCTTGGGAGTTAGTAGATGGTTTATGAGAAATCACTAAGAGCAGCGTTCCATTAACGGCACAAAGCCCACACACACAAACAGACAAGTATTTAGTTGATACGTGTGTACTATGGTGGGTACTATCAATGACCTCCATCTATAATTACGCTCGCTAATCCCCATTCAGAAATCTAGCTGCTAAAATTGCAAGTGAAATTTTCACACTAATTGCCAACGGCCCCAGCCGAAAAATCTCCGTCTTTAGAGTCGCCATTGTCGTCGTCGTGGTCGTCGTCGTGGTCGTGGTCGTCGTCGTGATCGGATGTTAGCCTACGTTTGGATTTTTTATTTGCAAAGAAAGCGGACGATGCCAGAGGAAAAATAGACTCGAGAGCAGCAGCAGATGTAGAAATCTATTAGCGTTGCGATTGCTTGCTTGAGATAATTGAACCCACGTTCATTATTTCAATTTGCACCAGCTGCGTTAAAAACAAAAGCAGCTAGATAAATATTAATAATAAAAAAAACAAAAAACAGAAGACCAAAAGACATAATCCAGACGAAGTCGCATTCTTGGCATTTTTAGTGCCCACAAGTGGAGAAAATTAAGCGGCGTTAGAAATTAATACAGACATCTAGGTCCATGCCGAGTACGCATATGTATACTTATAGTCCATAGTGTTGCCCCCACATGCTACGTGCCACATTCCAAGAGCAAGAGGCACACAGCTCTGACACTCTGGCTCCTGCTATCGGATGCCATCAATTGCAAAAAAAAAAAACAAAAACTAAAAAAAGAGCGCATAACGTATAATTTTCAAAAGTGGCAACCAACAACAAAAGTAACAACAGCAGCCGCAGCACAGATGCTGGGCAGGCTTAGGCCAGTGACGACATGATATGTGTGCATGTTGTCGCTATCTATGTTGCTGCAACAACTGCTGCTGCTGCTGCTGCTGCTGCTGCCCCCACATATCATGGCAGTCGCACAGTGGGCGCAGATTCTCATGCAACAATTGCAAAGCCAACATCCAGCAGGCAATAATTATTAAGTGATTAGCTAAAAGCCACTCCAAATTGCGGTGCTGGAAAATGCAACAGGAAATTCAAAGAGCCATTAATAGAAAGGAAAAACAAAAATACCTGGCTTTGAGTATAGACATAGAAAGGACAGAAATGTGAAAGATATTTTTAGCGATCTAATACCCGATTCAAATTGCCACAATCAGGTTATTGCTTATTTGTGCCAGGAGAAATTCTTCTTAGAACCGAACACATACATTCTGAAGAGATTGACCTTAACCCAGCTGTTAAATGCATATTACGTTTGCTGATACTCGATTGTTCAATAAAAAAATACAAAATCTGTCATGGCTTGATCGAGTCATCTATTGATCCTGAACAAAAGAATATTTATACTTTCTTCTGCCTTTCATATACTTTTTCACAACTTCATTACACTCCTTTTGCCATTTTTACTTTGTTCTGAGTATAATAAATGATTTCGTATAAAGTAGCATAGAAGGAAAGACTTTCAGAATAAAACTTAGCAAGAGATATAGAAAATATATTAGAAAAATTATAAATATTTCTAAGAAAAATGAGAGAAAGTCAGCGCTGTTGGAACTGATTGACAGTTTTTAATCAGTAAGTTTAGATATTTAATAAAATAATCAGACAATGCTTGAAGCGATATCACGAATATAAGGAAATATAATACAAATATATAAAACGGAAAGTTTGAGAATAATAAATAAGGGAGTTATTTACACTACAAATAAAAAACAACCATTGCAATCAATCTGATTGCTGATCTGCTTATCACAGAATCACACTGGCAACAACACAGCAGGAACACTTAGTCATCTGGTTAAATTGGTGATGAATGAAATAATGTCGTGATCTTTACACCGAAGAATTTCGATATTTAATTGAATGACGATCGTGTCGAACGAGTAGAGAATAAACAAATCGCTGACTGTAACAATTGCCACAGGTCAACCTCTTTGGGGGTGACCTCATAAGGCAATCAACCAAATGATTCGCTGCTCTCCTCAATGCACATGCTCCACTCCAATTTGAGACCGTTCCAACCGGCTGCGGTAACACTGTGGCATGTGGTGTGCCACACTGGGTTCAAGTCTCTTTTGCTGTGCGCTGCTGCACAAGAGCAAGTTTAATGAATTTATTTGAATGTTGGACAAATTGTGCACGACCAACAAATTTACGAGCCTGTTTGGATTTACTTCGATGTGTATGTGTGTGATTTGTGTTTTATACAGAATGGGAAGGGGGGTTTGATCATGGGCACATGCCACACACATAAACACAAACACACAGACAGACACTCACCCGCCAGGGGAGGGGGTCTCTGATGTGTGTCAGCTTTACATTCACTTTGTACTCGTACCTTAGATATTAATTGCTGCCGCCGGTGCTAAGCAGAAGACAACAGCGTTGTTGGTTGTGCTTTCTACCAACTGAGTGGCACAGCTGTTGATCATGATCTTGCCACACTGACAAAAATAAAAGGGCACTTTAAGTAGCTGCACTTAAATTACAATATATTCAAATCTTTTGGAAATTTTGAGCAGGTTCAGTTTTTTCGACCACACTTTTTAAAAGCTTTAATCAGACCAATTACTTACTTTAAATTATGAATTTTTTAAAATTAATTCACTAAAAATTTGCTAATCATTTCAAGGATTTATTCGAAATTTTACAATCTATCAGAACCCATCTCAAATCAATCAAAATTCATCCTAGCCATATAATATTTTTCTGTGCACAGCTCCCGTTGGACGTCATGGTTTGTTAATTTAGTGTAATGGTTTGGCTACATACAATTATGACTTACCATTAGTAAGCGTTGCCGTTAGCATGAAAGCCAGCAGTGCGCCAAACAGCTGACGTTGGTACTTTAGCCCAAAGCGGTACTGCGACTGCCATTGTTGAGGCTGCGACTGCGGCTGGATCGGGCACATCATTTTCACTGTCGACTGCACTTTCCTGGCCTAGGCTAGACGTCTACTATATATGTATGTATATATATATATGTATATATATATGTGTGCGTGTTTGTATATTATTGTGTGCGTGACTACGACGCTTTCGCTCGTTAACAATTGAAATAGAAGCAGTTACTATTGTTGTTGCTGCTGTTGCTTGCTTCTCAAGTTCAGCACTAGCTATGCGACGGCGTGCAAAGATCACGACACGACTTCGAACTTACGTTAAAGAAAGTTTTTTTCGTTTGTTTTTCCAGTAGCTCTTCCCTCTGCCTGCTATGCAAGCGAACTGGTGCAAGCTTCAGGCAGAAGCTGGCGATGCTAGCGTCGCTGCTACTACTGCTGCCAATGCTCACAATTAACGGTTGTCGCTCTCTTTGTGGTTCTCGCTCATTTGAGAGTTTTGCGCCTGTTGCCCTTTTATGAGTTAATTCGTTCGCTGCCTATTAAGCATTAAGCACTAAGCATTAAGCGACGCTTTGCGGTTTATATTTAACAGCAGCAATTACGCATGAAAGACTCCTCCTGCTGCTTCTAACACTCGACGTGTATTTCTTCGGTTTGACCTCTCGCACAATGTAGCATAATTTCTTTTTTATCGCCCTGCCTCTTTTTTAGTTTTTTTTTTTATTTTTGCACGTTGCCTTAATTCGATTTCAATTACGAGTGCGGCTTTTGAAGTTTTACCACAGTTACCGTTTGTTCAGTCGTTCGTTCTGCGGTTGCCTTTTCTTTTCTTTTTTTACTATTATTATATGCACACAAAGTATCTTTTCATCAGAGTTCTTTTCAGTAGTTCGTTACTCTTTTTTTATTTTATTTTATTTTATTCCCTAAGCGTAAGCGTTTGAATTTGATTTTGATGCGCGCTCGCTGAGTTTCGCATGCGAAGTGATCGCTGTGAATGTGAATTGTGGTTGTGTTGTGGAGATGCTGCTCCCCGCCTCGCTGTCGACGTTGACGTTAGCGTTGACGTTACAGCGACTGCATTATTTATTGTTGTGCTCGCTGCACTCTTTTCAATGAATGAACACACACAACATATGCGACGTACGCGCAGACACACACAGACACAGTTACACTTACGCTCGAGCACACTTATGCTCCTTACACACACACACACACACGCACGCGTGCTTTGGTTTTTACACATTCATAAAAATTATAAGCTTTTATTGTTTGAGCTGCGTCTTTTGTTGTGCGAGATCAACTCGAAGACGATTGCAGCTCCAGCTCCAATTTCGTATGCGACGCAAAAAGAAGGCTACTGCTGTTGCGAACGACACGAGAGAAAGGTTTGAATGACACTCACACTCGAATTTGCAATGCCATTTATATGAGTGAAAGGCAGCCGCAGCGCAGTCGCTGCGCAGCCGACGTCTTTCGGGCGCCGCACAGTGGTGAGCACCGACTGGGCAGACATTCTAAACACATCACTTTTGGTCTCAGTTGGCCACTTACAATTGATATCCAATTGGTATAAATAAGTTGTTTCTTTTGTTTTTCTTTGTGCTTGCTAAATATTTTGTTTTTTTCTTCAATTAGTAAAACTTTCAGTCAAAGCAGCAATAAAATTAGGTATTAAATTTGTGTTGCTTCTTTTTTATGGATATATATATTTAAATTAAGTGCGATTTTGAATTTAAATTTCACCTCCGTAATTGCATGGTTAAAGAGATAGGCGGATTTAAGATCAAAGAAACATTTGGACGGCCCGCAGTGGGATACACGGGCCTAAATAGCTTCTCGTCAAATTTTAGCAGTTTTTATTTTCTACAAGAAATATAAATCAATGTATATTAAGTTATTAATAAGAAGCTAAACTTTTCTAAGCTGTTGACTTATACAGGAAGCTTTGACAGGAAGCCGGAACCAGAAACATTTTTCTTACGATTTGGGCACACTGTGCGTTAGTGATACATCTTCGCTGCTTTGGCATCAGTTTTGGTTGCGCTTTAGCCATTGATTAAATGGAGTTGTCGGTATTTAAAATAACAACTTGGTCATGTTGTTGTCTCGCAAACCTAATCGGTTTTGCGTACAAATTTAATTTGCCAAAAGTGGCAGCAAAATGCAACCAAAAAGGCGAACCGCATTTGAAATTATAACAGACACACACACACGCACTCACATAAGCAGACACGATCTGTATGCAACTCTGTCGCCGTAGAAAGTGCGCTGGCGCGCATTTTGAAGTTGGTTGTTGTTGTAGTCTTGCAAGTAACCGCTGCAGCAGACGTTTGCTAGCCTGGATGCTGTGTGTGTTTGTGTTGTGTGTGTGTTTATAGACTTGTCGACTTTTAAGCCATAAATTTTACGCCTGAGTGGCGTTGCGAATAAGGGTCACACACACACACACACATACTCAGCCAAGCTTTGGCGGTTTGCTCGCGAGCATAAAGAAAATTGAGTGGTGCAGCAGCCGCAGCAGCAGCAGCAGCAGCCAGCTGAAAATAGGTCAGTAAGTGGAATATTTACAGTTAGTTTTTGGGCAGCAGGCAGGCAGACGACAACATTACAAGCTGACAGCCGTGACACCAGCAGCCGCCCAGAACTTATGCTGGGGACCACCACCAACCACCAAATGCATCATCTAATGCCACCTCTTGCAAAGAAATTAATTAAAAGAAAGCCGCGCTTGGCAGAAAAAAAAACCTTTGGCAGGCGTGCAATTTCTTTTTGGCCACAACCAAGATTTGATGTTGTGGTTGCCAATAAAAATGGAAAGTGAAAATTGTAGATGCAGCAGTGCCGAGTGCATATTAAAAACATAAACAGAAAAAAGAAACAGTGTAATAAAAAGCTAGAAGCAATAACCAACAACAACACGCACCTGTTCTGCAAGTCGTGCGAGTTTTCCTCGCTTCTTAATCATAGTCCTCGCGTCTTCCTCGCTTCTTAATCATAGGCTAGGAAAATGACAAATGAAAAAGCTGAAAGTATTATATAAATGTGATGATAGAGACTCAGGGAAAAAACAACAAAACGCGATAGAAGGAAATCACAAGTGGTTGTTATGGCTTGTGCGAATGCCAATTAAAATTTGATGGTTCAGCATACAGCATGCTCAGTTATTTGCTGATTTTCACTATTTTCTTGCATTCGCATTGTCATGCTAAAATTGAGTGCGCAAATATGCACAGCTCTTTATCATATTTTGAAACTTAACCGTCACGCAATACAATATAAATTTTTTAGAGCAACACTGGCAGAGGTTTCACAGCACTGTCAAGTAGTGTTGCTGTGCAGACTTATCGATAATGGCATAACTATCGATAGAACCTTTTACATCGCTACTCACACACACACGGACATGTACGCACACACTGGCTCACTCATTGAAAAAGTCGGAGAATTGTGTGGGAAAAAAGTCGTCTAAAACTAACAAACGAAACGCGCAAAATTGTGCAAATGCAGATGCATAGTGCTAAAGGCAGAGTGAACGTTTAATTTATTTTTGGTGCGCTGGCTGTTTGGGGAGCTAGAAATTCATGTTGTCGCTGTTGTAACGCGTAGAAGTGTGTGTTGTGCGTGTATGTGTGTGTGTATGTTGTGTGCGTGTGTGTGTTGTGTGTGTGTGCGCGCGTGTGTGTGAAGAGTGAAACCTACAACTTTACTCCCCAAACCAACAACAGCCACACCAACAGCAGCAGCAACAACAACAACAACAGCAGCAGTAGCAGCAGTGTTGAGAGAAAAGATGGCGACGAGTCGCACAAGTCGCATACAATCACAACCAAAAATTTTTCCTTCAATCTTATCGAAATTACATGGAGCCATCTCGGAGGCATGCGTCTCACAGCGCCTGTCGACGGACAAGAAAACGCTGGAGAAGACGTGGAAACTGATGGACAAAGTGGTCAAATTGTGCCAACAGTCGAAAATGAATTTAAAGAACAGTCCCCCCTTCATATTGGACATACTGCCGGACACGTATCAGCGTCTGCGTCTCATCTACTCCAAGAACGAGGATCAAATGCATCTCCTTCATGCCAACGAGCACTTCAATGTCTTCATCAATAATCTGATGCGTAAATGCAAACAGGCCATTAAACTGTTCAAGGAGGGCAAGGAGAAGATGTTCGATGAGAATTCGCATTATCGACGCAATTTGACCAAACTGAGTTTGGTCTTCTCCCACATGCTGAGCGAGCTTAAAGCTATTTTTCCCAACGGTGTCTTTGCGGGCGATCAATTTCGAATCACCAAAGCCGATGCGGCCGATTTCTGGAAGGGCAATTTTGGCAACAGGTAAGTTTTTCTCAAAAATCCAATAAGGATTACCCCTCGTTCTCTAACCAATATATGTGATTCTTGATGCAGTACACTGGTGCCTTGGAAAATATTCCGTCAGGAGCTGAACAAAGTGCATCCCATATCGTCGGGCTTGGAGGCGATGGCGCTGAAGACGACCATCGATTTGACGTGCAATGATTATATATCGAATTTTGAATTCGATGTATTTACACGTCTATTTCAGCCGTGGGTGACGCTTTTGCGCAATTGGCAAATCCTCGCCGTCACCCATCCCGGCTATGTGGCTTTTCTCACCTATGATGAGGTGAAAGCGCGCCTGCAACGCTACATCCACAAGGCAGGCAGCTACGTTTTCCGCCTATCCTGCACACGGCTAGGACAATGGGCCATCGGCTATGTGACGGCCGATGGTGAAATACTGCAAACCATACCGCAAAACAAATCGCTCTGTCAGGCGCTGCTTGATGGCCATCGGTAAGAATTAGACATAATCAGAATATATATGTTCAACAGTATTTATTAAACTATACCCGGCTTGATTATGTAGCGAGGGTTTCTACCTATATCCCGATGGTCAGGCCTACAATCCGGATCTGTCGTCTGCGGTGCAAAGTCCAACAGAGGATCACATTACTGTCACACAAGAGCAATATGAGTTATACTGTGAAATGGGTGAGCTAAGAAATAGCTAAGCTACTAAACGCCCACATTCTGCAATACTAAACTCAACTTTTGCACTTTTACAGGCAGCACATTTCAGCTATGCAAAATCTGTGCGGAGAACGATAAGGATATACGCATCGAGCCCTGCGGACACTTGCTGTGCACGCCCTGCCTCACCGCCTGGCAGGTGGACTCGGAGGGACAGGTAAGCAACGCTATCGCCGATTGCAATCAAAAACTGAGTTTAAATCCAATTCCCAATGAATCACTTTGGTGCAGGGCTGCCCGTTCTGTCGTGCGGAGATCAAGGGCACCGAACAGATCGTTGTGGATGCCTTCGATCCACGGAAGCAGCACAATCGCAACGCAACGAATGGAAGACAGCTGCAGCAGGACGATGACGATACAGAGGTATAGTTTTGTGCAGCGCTTTTGAAATAATAAAGCCTTTGACGCCTGCCCCGCGCTGCCCGCCTGTGCTGCCTATCTCTTATATATATGTATATATATATAGATATATGTATATCTTTATACATGTGTATATATACATATATGTATATATTTATATATATAAAACAAAAACAAATATCACTCTTATTACGATTACAATCAAATCTAATTTTGGTTCACTCATATATATACATTTATATATATAAATATATATGTATATATATATGTGTATATATATATATGTATATGTATAGCATAGACGTTTCTTTATATTAAGTTTAATATTTAGCGATTTTGATTTATTATTCATACGTAAATTATTAGCCCAAATTTTCATGCAACTAACAAACAGTGCGCACACAAACAGAGAAATCGACACCTATATAGAGAGTATATATATATATATGTATATCTGTATATGTATATATACATATATGTATATATGCAAATGATTGTACATAAATTGAAGTATGTACGCTGAGCGGAAGTTACTCATCAGCTTTTATCAACGCTCGCTTGTTTTTTCCATCCGTTTCGTTTGTGCACTGTTCGTTGTTGTTGTTGTTGTAGTTGTTGTTTCGTTTGTTGGTTGCTTCTCTTCTTTTTCTTGTTCACTCTTTCACATTTCATTCATACATTTGTTCATTCATTCATTCGCTCGCTCGTCGCCTCTGTTTATGATTCATTTAATAGTATGTTATTATCGTGCATATGAATGCATCTCTCGATTCGTAAACATCTATCATTAAGCAACAACAGCAACAACGACAACAATATCAGATAAATGCTGTATTTGTGTTTGTTCTTATTTTTTTATTACACATTTGTAAATACTTAGCTATTATTATTGTATAATTTGTAATGTACTTTTTAGTGAGTTACAAACAAAAAAAAAGAAAACTGTCTGAAGTTCATCCTGTAATCGAACCCTGTTCTTCCTACAGTATATACCCATCCACATACATATATATATAAACAAAAACAAAAAAAAAGAACACCTATGGTATTTTTCACATTTTAGTTTATTGTTTGATACTTCCAAAGATATATTTAGTTTATGATTTTTTTGTTTGTTTTAGTTTTCAATTCGGTTTTTCATATATATAAATATATATATAGTACATGATGTATGTATGTATGTTTTTTTTGTAAGCCTTAAGACTGTAATTTATTAATATTAATATTTAAATGGCTATGGCCATGGCCAATGCATATGTATGTATAATTATCATTTATCATTGTTATCATTAATGTAGCTAGTTAGCTGTTAACTGTCACAAGCCTAGGCCAGAATTTATATAAAACGTTAAAAGTATTAGCAAAGAAATTAACATTTTCAATCATTGTGTGTTTGGTTGAGTGTATCTGTGTGAATGTGTGTGTGTTTTGTCATTTGTATGCGTTCTTCTTATATTATCATTCATTATAATTATTATTTAATTAAATCTTTCGGCTCAGTTCGTTTCCTTAACATATAGGCTTCAAATCATCATACATCGATTTAGCATATTTCAATTAATAATTATTTATGTTTAATGTAATACACCTAATGCAATTCTTATATATATATATGTATACATACAATTATACAAATACCGATTACATCAAGTTCTTAGCATTAAATTTATAATTTTTGATGATTTCCTTAATAAGTTTTACAAATGCCTAATTCATAACGAAAAAAAAACAACAAAAAAAAAAAACAACAGTAAAAACATTAAAAAAAATATATATATATATATGTATAAATATTTATAAATATTGGTTTTAATTTGTTTGACGTGCTGCTATTTATTTATTTATGTTTTCTTGTCTACAGTTGCAAATTTTGTTGCGTTTTGTTGTTGCTCCTATTTATTTATGATCCATGTTTGTTGTGCATGTCCAACAAAAAAGAACGTTGATTTGCAGTTTCGTTGCTCTAGCGGCATGCGTCCTAACAACTACCAAAAAAACAAATCCCAAATTGAAATCTATCTGCAAAAGCGAAACCAGAACTGACTACAAAACTTCCCTCCCCCCCTCCCCCCACACACGTCCTGCAGGATATGGGTGACTTCAACATTGCCACATCGTCGCTGCATGCGCTCAGCACATCGGCAGCCTCACAATCCTCGATGGAGAAGCACAGTCCGCACACCTCGCCACGTCTGGGCAGGCGGAGCACCACGCCCAGCTTGATGGCGGTGCAAAATGATCTCTATGCCGGCGGTGGGCCAGCACTGAGTCTGCCTAGCAGCAGCAGCAGCAACAGCAGCTCATCCTCCTCAACAAACTGCACGCAACAACAGCAACACCAGCAACCATCACAGCAGCAACACCAGCAGCAGCAACAACAACAGCAACCGCAGCCTTCAGCGCCGCCCGCAGCCGCAGTGATCAGCAATGGAGGAGTCGGAGGAGGAGCAGGAATTGGAGTTGGAGTTGGAGGAGTAGGTGTGGGCACATCAACATCTTCAGCTGGCAGCAGCTCCACGCAAAAGAGCACAAATCGAATGAGTGCACCGCTGATGGGTTCCAGTGTGATCAACTCGACCTATGGACAAAAGTTGCCCAGTCGAACGGACAGTGGAATCTCGAGTGAGACCGCTTCGATCAGCTCCTATGCCATACTACAGAATCTACAGGATGGCAGCATCGGGGCCAGCACCAGCTCCCTTTCCAATTCATGCTCAGCAGGTGCAGCTGCTGCTGCCGCTGCCGCAGCCGCTGCAGTAGCTCCACCGCTGCCGCCACGCAAATCGCCGGGCGTGGAGACACCTGTCAAGCCATCGAGCAGCAAGAGCATTGACAACATCCAATGCAGTTTGGACAATGTGCCACCACAGACGACAGCACCGCCCATTCCGCCCCATGTGAGCAACAGTGTGGATACGCTGGCTGAGGATCTGATGCGGCAACAGAGGATTGCTAGTAGCACCACATCGCCAGTGCTGTCGCTGCTCGATGAGATGATGGTGGAGGTGGGTCCCGCGGAGACTATCAGCGGTGTGATCGATACACGTCCGCTGGAAGCGCGTGGAACGCTGCCCAAGCCGAGCACCATCAGCAGCAGCAACGCCACCGCCACCAGCAGCAGCAGCAGCAGTAGTGGTAGTGGTGGTGGTGGAGGTGCTGGAGTACAGGATGCGGCCAGTTCACACTATACACAGTTGTGCACAACAACAACGAGTGCGGCGGCACTGGCGGCAGCTGCCTCGCTGGCCAATGGCAAGTTGGCAAAGATGACGCTGAAGCAGCCAACGCCAGCAGTGCCGGCTAATCCTGCCCAGCAGCAACATCAGCCGCTGCTCTATGCGAACGTGACGATCAATCAAAAAGACTGCGGCTCCGTGCCCTACGAGAACATCAATCTGGAGTACATTGCCCGATTGATGAATGCCGGCTATTCCAAGGAGAATGCCATCACAGCTCTGGGCATCTCGAGGAATAACATCGAAATGGCTGGCGATATTTTGCGCGAGTTTGTCTCCAAGAATAGCGCCTGAAAAAATGCCAGCCTATGTGTGATCCCTTAGGAGGAGTTAGCGATAGTTGATTTGATGATGATGATGATGATGATGATGATATGATCCCAAAGAAACAATGCAAGAAAGGCAAATGATAAATCATTAGCATAATTTGAAACTCTCACATTACGCTCTCTCTCTCTCTCTAACTATCTATCTATATACTTCTATATATACATATATATAAATATATATTTATAAATTTGTCTATCTCGCTTTAAGAGCACCCCTTCCCAAACACACACACACAAACACACACACACTTCATATAGAGTTACGCTAAGTTAACAGACCCAAAAAAAGATTTAAAAAAAGATGAAAAAAAAACACACACACCTCATCCACACAACACCCACACACATCCAATCTTGGCGTAGCCAGCACAAGCAATTAGGCGTAAAAAAGTCGTTCGTTCTCTTTAACAAAAACCAAAAAAAAAAAAAAATATATTATAAATAAAAACCAGCATAGAAACTAAAAAAAAAAAAAGTCAAGTCAAGTCGTCAAATTCTCTCACTCTATTTAAAGAAAAAAAAAAGAAGCAAATTAAGCACAAACCCATTTATATCAAATATAGCTATTTATACACATATATTAAGATGTATCTACTTCTGCCTAGTAAGCAAATTAAAAACAACAACAAATATATATATATATATATATATATATATATACATATATATATACGCAGTTCGAAATGAATCAAAAATTTGCCCACCCCGAGAAAAAAACAAATTCAAATTTTGCTCTCTTTCGTAATAAAAGACAAAACCAATAAAAAAAAAATAAAACTAACAACAAAAACATACAAATCCATTACAAATAAGGCCCCTCACCAAAAAAAAAAAAACAAAACTAAAGAATCGATATAAAATTATAATTGGTGCATCGGCAATCATAATTAAAACATAGGAACAGCCTTTAAGATTCATTTAACTCACTCGCACATTCACACACACATTTATTGAATATAAAATGCCTTTGAAGCTGTCTCCAGTGGATAGCCCTCAGTTTCCTTATCCGTGTAACACCAACAAAAAACCAAACGAATAAAAAAACAAACAAACAAAAAACAACAACAAAACCAACACCAACAAATCCGATGCACTATCAAAGTTTACCTCGATTTTTTATACAAAACTCAATGTTTTTTGTAATAGTATTGTATATGTAAGTTTATGCCGGAGGCGAGTATCCGTTGAAAAAGTAATCAACAACAGCAACAACAAATATAAAAAAATAGAACGCAGAGGAAGACGGTAGTTGGAAAACGGGATAAGGAAGTTTGTATTACGGATAAACCCTTTTTACAGAATTTATATGTATAATGCAAATAATCGGTTTTTAATTCGTCGGTAACTTTCTTAAACCCCTACACGCAATTTTTTTACATATAGTATCTACTAAAGAACAAAAACCCTTGCTCTATACGATATATATACATTCTATATATATATTTATATATATATATATATATATGGGCGATATAATCATGCGTAACAAAACAAACACAAAGTAATCAAGGCAATATTCACTATAAACAAATCACTGCAAGCGTAAATTTATAAGTAACTTATATTTACATTACATAACCTCAAACGAAACGAAATAACAACAACTATTTACGATATATTTGAATTTTAAGGAACATCAGCGTTCAAATACAAAATAGCATATATGTACTAGAACATAGCAACAACAAAAAAAAAAGAACAAAAAAAAAAACAGAAAGAAAGGAGTCATCAGGCAATAAAAAAGAAGGTAAAAGAGAAATCAGACAGTCAAGTTTTAAGTCCCAAATATGAACGAAAAGCGTATAAAGAAAAGTAATATTGCGATACCATACCATAGTCATGTCAAGTAACCCGCAAATCTTAAGCAGATATAAATTATTCTTATATATAAAATAAAAAAAAATAAAAAGAAACCAAAAAACAAATCAACAGAGTTTTCTTTTAATAGCGCCCAACAGCTCATTTTGAGCATTGAGAAAGCTTTTTTGTTTCTCATGCCGTGCTCGTAGAACTGCTTATCGCATGCAATCTAGATTTTTGTATATAGAAAAACACAGTTTTTGTTTTAGCTTTATTGAAATATGTATTTATTTTGTTTTTATTATTTTGACTTATATAGTTGCGTTTTTGTATTTTTTTTCTTTTCTTATCTTTTCTTTCGTATTCAAGCACATATGTATTTTTTTTTGTTGCATTTTTTTTGTTTGTTTGTGTGTGTATGTTTTACGATTTTTTTAATGTTTTATATTTTATAAATAAGGATTAGTTGATGTTCGGTTTCTGTGCCTGTGCTGTTCATTTCATTGCATTGCATAAATCTCGGCATATCAGACGATCTATATATATATATATACTCGTTTAATATAGCGCGTTAACCATATTTAAGTTACTATTTATTCTTGCTTGTTCATTTTGTTGTGTTGCTTAGTGTTCTTTTTCTTCTTCTTTTTGTTGTTGTTGTAATGGTTTATATGTATAACATGGCTATAGTAGGACGTACTGATCCCAAAATTTGTTGTTAGCTTGTTAAATGTTTTTCTTTTTGTTTTTTTTTTAGTAATTGAAATTCATAATTTTTTTTCACAATATTTGCTCTTTGTTTCCGACACGATCTCTTTGTATTTTTATTTTATTTATTTTTTTTTTGTTTTTTGTTTTTTACTATATATATATACTTTAATATTTAAAAATACATTTTTAAAAATTAATTTTTGTAATCTTTCATTAAATGGTTCAACAGATTTGGCGCAGCAAATTTCATTTGCTCTTCTTCATCCTCACACAAGACTTTTAGTTATTATTTTGTGTTTTGTTTACTATTATTATTCTTTTTTTTTTCGCTTTTTCTTTTTTTTTGTGTGTGTTAGTTACAAAGTTCGATTTCTAGATATTGTATTTGTTTTGCCATTGTTTGTTACTCACTTTTAAATAAATATGTTTTTGTATATGTTAGATGTACGCATGTATGTATGTATTTGTATAATATATATGTATGTGTAATAAGTTAATGCAACCCTTTTGAATGCAGAAAATCAAATTCGTAAAACAACATACACAGATAATATTCTCGATACTCGGAAGTGTGTTTTGGTGTTGAAATTTAAGACTTTGTTTGCGATATATATATACATATTAATATATATATATATAAATACTTGTTGCTCTCATTTCATGACTTCCGTCACATCGTGTTCATCATGTATGCAATCATTACTCAATAAATATATATGCCAGGTTAACAGTAAGACCTTAAAGAAGCAGTGAAATAACAATTGCGAGAATTATTAGAATAGAGTAATAGAAATAGAGCATATATAAGTTGTGAAAAAAAGAACTATCTACGCATCTATGGCATATAGTTTGTTTGTTTCTTTTGTTTATTTTGTATTTGTTTGTTTGTTGTCTAACGCACATATGCAAGGATTTCGTTGCCATTTATACAATAATTGTTCTTTGTTTTTTTTTGTTTTGTTGTTTTTTTTTGTTTTTGTGTTTTTTTTTGTTTTGTTTTATAGATTTCATTTCATATATGCTAAAATTAAATTAAAGCAAAACTAGTTGAAAAATAGTATACGTTTACACACAATTTGGTTTCATCTCTCAGACACTTGAATTTCAGTTTTAAGCAGCGCACAACTTCAATATAACAGAAAAAATATAGACTGCGTATTACAATTAGGAAGAGGGCCCTGGTTTAATGCTTAATGCGTAAGATTACGTAAAATTTCATTTAGATTTATATCAGACACATAGAAATTGTTTTGGAGCTTGCCGTTTAGTTATTCATCATAATTATACATTTATGTACTATATATTTGTGGTATGCCATATGTTTTGCTATCAATTATTATTATCGTTTCAAATAGTGTTTTTTTTTTCGTTTTTTTTTTTTGTGTTTGTTTTTTCTAAGTTAATATACTTAATAAATGTATGTTTGCTTTGTTTGTTTTGCTGTTTTGTAGACATCATAATATGGTTGTAGCGACAAGTTCACAATAATGTAGTTCTGTAGTTGCGTATTTTGTTGCTTATGCAGTTCCTGTGCCATCTTCTTCTTTAGTTTATTCAGTTTTCGGTAACGGTAATGGTAATGGTATCGTGAAGCCTTGTTTATGTTGTAGCGTACAAGAATATATATGTATTGAGATATATGTATATATAAATGTATGTATGTGTGTGTTTGTGTGTGTGTGTGTGTGTATGTGTATGCCTGCATTTGTCTTTAATTTGCATCTAATATCTGATTTGGAATTACTCCACCAGGGCGCCTGCAATAATAAGCATTATTTAGAATCAAATTAGATATGCTTCACATAGTTTTTCGTGTATTATTTCAACACTCACCTGGAATGCGTGGATGGCGAGCGAGTACAGAGAAGCCCTTGCCCTGCGGTCCCTTGGGTGCGCGTATGAGGATCAGACGCGGCACACCATCGTCGCCATTGAGCTTAAGGCGCGAGATCAGACGATCGGGACGATCGTTTATTTTCAAAACATTGCAAGCCGACGATTTGCCATTGCGCTGTGAATAGTCCGTCAACATTAAAATTATTAATATTTATAAATAAAATGTGGTTAAATTGATGTGTAACCCACCTGATTGGTAACCACAGAGAACTCAACGGTATCACCAGGATGTAGAGCCACTGTGCTGCCCTGCACCTCGGACATGTGAAAGAATAGCTTCTTGCCGTCCTCGACCTCGAAATTGAGGAAACCAAACTGACCCTTGATCGAATCGACAGTGGCACGTTTCTTTAGCCGCACCGCATTCACCTCCGCCGCCCGGCCGCTCTCATCGATGCGGAAACTGACCAGATCACCCTTCTGCAAGAGATCACGCTTATTCACCAGACTGGTGATGCCAAATTCATGCTGCGAGATGACTGTGGTGCGCAGCTCATCGAGTATCTCAATCAGTCCGGCATATTCCTGCTGATCCGGATTGATGCATCGCAACGGACGCGCCACAACCCCATTGTGCACCGTCTCCAGCACTGCCGGTTGCGGTATCGAGTTCTTGAGCAGTGCGCACACATTCTCGGCGGGCAGACAATTGCCAGAGACGGAGGTGTTGCCATTGGGCGCCAGAGTGTACTCCACCTCCTGGCCCAACTCAAGCCAATTGGGATTGCCCTGATAGTTGCTAAAGTGAAAGAAAACCTCCTCATCGTGCGACAGCGTCTCGATAAATCCAAAATTCTCCTTAATGACGGCTATAAATCCGCGATACAACTGACCACTAGCTGCTTCCGCATTCGCATGATTGTTATTCTCCAGCTTAAAGTCCTCAATCTGCGGCACGCAAATCTGCTGCTGGGTTGTGGCATTGCTGCCCACGCTGCTGTTACTGCTGCTGCCGCCGCCAGGACTGCCATGCATCATGTAACCATTCTGCATGGAGCCAGCATTCGTGCTGATGCCATTCGAGATTAACAGCTGATCGTTCTGATTCAAATTAGTAGCAGACATTTGTTGTTGGGCAGCTGTTTGCTGGCTTAAAAGTTGTTGCTGCTGCTGCTGCTGTTGTTGCTGTTGCAGCGATACTTGCTGCACATTGACGGCTATAAATTCCTTGTTACGTTTGACCTGGCAAATGGGAGAACGAAACCAGATTAGATACAGATTAGATGCTATTGAGACGCATGCTAATTTAATTATAGCTTAAGGCAAACGACTCCTACGATATAATAATATTTAAATAATCTTGATAGGCACGAGAAGTCGAATAGAGCTGGCCATGTCTGTCCATGCCAACTAGTTTTCAGTTTTTTAATGCTCATTTCTTACTTGCAACTAGTATTTTTTACTATCTATATATTACTGTATCGAAAGCTACGAAATCACAGAGTTCTCGTTCTTTGTATAAAACATTAATCTCTTTAGGGTGGTATTGAAAAGATTTATGTTTAAGAGCAGTTTTGTCAAAGTTGGGATGAGATCATACCATGTAAATATCGAAGCGCACACGCTCGCCGACTCTTGGTGGTTTTTCGCAGTCTTTAAGAAAATACATAATAGTCTTTTTAACATCGCCATGCTCGTAGGTGATGACTCCACCCTCGAAGCGATCCTGAGATTTAATTGGACTCTTGGGCGCCTCGCGTGTCACGCAGCCTGCAAACGTTACAAATCAGATTAGCCAAGAAATTCTAGTTTATGAATTGCGCTTGAGAAACATACCCTCAATGTTGCTGGCCATTAGGGTTTCAAATTGCACAGAATTGGGCGGCAAATGTTTAATGCGAATGGCCTGCAGACGCGAGTTATTATAGGCCAGGCCGGGCTCCTGAATGACAGTAAACTCAACCTCATCGTTGACATCAATTTCACGACTCTGCATGAAATAAGATGGTAATAGATAATATTAATTATTATTTTGTTTTACTTTGATCTGATCTGATCTACTTACCGTATCGAGCACCTCCGTAAAGTGAAAGAACAAACGCACTTGACGCTCCACGCATCGAAGGAAACCGAAACCCTCCTTTAGCGAGGCAATGGTGCCCTGTTCCCGCTTCTCGCCGGACACCTTGAACGTCTCGTCCAGCAACGCAATCGAGGTGGCGCGCTGCAACTGATCCCGCCTATCGGTGGCCAACAGGAATTGCACCCAATCGCCGTGACGCAATGTGAAATCACCCTTCTGGTCCTTGTCGCCAAACGGCACCTCCACCTCGGAGTAATCGGGTGCACGGTAACGTATGCGTCCGGGCAACGGATCATTGTTCTGACGCACCGGATTGTTGCGATCGAGCGACTTGAGCACTTGACCCTTGTAAATGGTGGTGTCGACATCCTCAAAGATAACCGAACCGGGTGGCAAACGCGTTATGTTGCAGGCAAACTCACGGCCCTGCGGTGGCACAGAGGCAGACTGTTCTTGTTAATGAGAGATGTGGCACTGAATCAATAATCATCTACTTACGCTACGCGTTTGTATGGTGAATTCAACATCGTCACCGGGTCGCAGCTCCACATTGCCCTCGGCCTCGGAGAAATGAAAGAAGATCTCTTTCACAACATCGGCACGCTCAATGAAACCAAACGACTCCTTCATTGAGCAGACAACGCCACGATATTTGACAGGCATGGCCGGATTCTCCAGGCGTATATGACAAGCGCCAAGGTTGCCTCTGCGAGTTGGGTTTAGTTTAGTTAATATTATGTAGTGCTGAGTAGATTATATTTATTTACCTTTGGTTCGTTGCAATTTGAAAGCTGACCTTGTCGCCAGCACGTAAATTCACATTGCCTTCAACATCGTCTTTGGTATAGGGTAAGAAGAAGCATTCGCCACGATTCTCATAGCTAATCCGGCCAGTTGTCTCACTAGAGGTGAGCACATTGTTGGCGCTATCGGTGCGCAGCTCGGTGGTCACAGTGCCGGTCACCCGCTCCTCAGACAGCACAACCTCTGGCGCTATTTTGGACACTTGACTAGCGATTGGTTTACCGGTGCGACGATCGTAGGTCATCTCAAACTCGACGGGATCACCAATCTTTAAATGGTCAATATTGCCGCTGAACTGCGAGAAATGAAAGAAGAGACGCGCCTGTCGCTCACAGCACTGAATAAAACCATACGAATGCTGCAAACACACATAAAAGTTAATTGTTGATTTGGGAATGGATTTTTTGGTTTGCGAATAGTTCGCACAGGATACCCACCAGTAGCTTCTCAATGATGCCAGTTTCACGTGTGGTTGCATTCGGATCGTTGGCTGCATTTGCCGACGAGTTACTCGACTGCGAGCCAAATATGGACGATGAGCTTCCCGGACTGGGTCCATTCAGCACGCTGTTGGACTGAAAGACGCCAATTTGTGGCGGATTCTGAATGATATCGTTGACCTCATTCGCATCGAACATGCCAATGCTTGAATGATGTTGCTGCTGTTGATGTTGTTGTTGCTGCTGCTGTTGCTGCTGATGTTGTTGTTGTTGATGTTGTTGTTGTTGTTGTTGTTGCTGCTGCTGCTGCTGCTGTTGTTGTTGCTGCTGCTGCTGTTGATGATGTTGCTGCTGCTGCTGCTGTAAATGTTGTTGCATATGCTGATGTATAGCTTGCTGCTGCGGTTGAGATACCTGCATTTGGACAGCCGATGGTGTTGGCGGTCCATGGGACTGCAGTCCCAACGTGGTCGAGTCGAGCGTAAAGGTGCCAATTGTCGGAAATGTTGTGGGGATGTTCAAGTTGTGCATGGCAGTCATATCGAAACACTGCAAGCTATCGTACAGTTCTGCAAAATTACATTTAAGAGATGAGCGTATGATGAGGCAATAATAATGAATATTCGTTATATTAAAAATAATAAATGATTTTATTAATGGTTAAGTCTATTACTGGACAGCCATACTACAAACAGCCATAGCTTTTTCATTCTATATGGCTATATGGAATTTAAGAACTGAAAGCAACTGTTACAGATATCTTCACGAGAATCGGGAGAACAGTTCATATCCATCTCATATGGATACTGGTTGAGGGGCATCATCTATCAGACGGTAAAGTTGCGAAACACATTCTTTACTAAAGACAAAAACAGTATTATATAGAATACTTTTCGACCTTTTGACGTACTTTTGAAATCATATTAAAATAAAATTCAATTTAGTATATAGTATAAGGATATATGAATATGGATTTTACCTTCGCCAGACCGGTATCCTTTGGATTGCGTATTCATGTTGTTAATTGGTTGATTGTTTGTTTGTTACGGAAAATGCTGATAGCGACTAGCACGAGAAGACTGGTTGGTTTTTTGATTGATTGATTGATCGATCGATTGATTGATTGATGCGATTGATAATGATGATGACGAGAATGTTGAACGTTTTTTTAAAAAAGACAGCGAGCGCGTTTTGGGAGCTGATCAAAAACTGACCTGCGTTTGGTTTGTTTTTATGATTTTTTGTTAATTTATTATTGATTTTTATTTATAGAATTTTTTATATTTACGTTTTTTTCTTTCTTTCGATTTTTAGTGTAATATTTTTTTTATATCAAAGAGACAAAAAAAACTAAGCAATAAATACGTATTTGTTGTGTATATATATTTTGGCTAAACACTGGCACAAGAGGCACTGAAATTCCTTGTCTTCGAAGTTAATAAAGAAACAATCATTTGTTGTTGCTGTTAATGCTTGTGGGTGGTCAACTTTCTTCTACTTTCCTTATGGAGGGGGTGTGTGTGGGAGTGGGGCGGGGGACGACGCCCCTAGTAATATGTATGTAAAAATTACGATTAATAATGTATAATGTTCAGTTTTCCGTAATTGCGGTTGTTAGTTGAAGAAATTGAAGTTGCGGCTGCTTCGTGTTTAAAAATATATAGATGTATATATATATATTAATTCGTATTCCGATGAAAAATGCATTAGCTGCTGCAGTTGCCGTTGGTTGTTCTTGTTGTTGTTGTTGTAGTTAGATGAATAAACATTTATTATTATTATTTTTGTTTTTAGCTATTTTTTGCGATGTTATTTTATGTTATTGTTTCTTTTCTATTCTTTTTTGTTTTACTAGAAAAATACACTGGGCGCTTTACGGAATACTTTGATGTTTTTTCTTTTTCTTTTATTTTTATTTTTAGGTTAATTAAGAGCTTTATTTTGATATATTTTGAATTGATTTGATTTCCTTTTTCTTACTTTTTGAGGGGGTGTTGGAGGGGAGTTGGTTAATATGTTTGTTATATTGGGCGCTTTTGCTGGTTTTCTTTGTGTTTGTGTTTATTACTATACAATATACATTTATATAATATATATTTATTTGTAGGCAATCGTTGTGGTTTTTATTTGTTGTAGGAAGTATTAGTGATTTATTATTTCTTATTTACTTTTTTTCTTTGTAATACGCTCTCTTTCTTTCTCTGTCTGTCTCTCTCTTCTCATTCTCCGCACCGCTGCTGCTGCTGCTGCCGCTCTTTGCTGGCCGGCCTGCCTGCCTGTCCGTTCACGTGCGGGGAGGGAAGAACGAGTAGGGGCGCACTACACTACAAGTGTTCCGTTAAGTTCTGTTTTGTTTCTTGTTTTCCTTTTCGCTGTACGCTGTTGTTGCTATTACTTTTCGGTTACACGATTTGTATTATTGTGTTATTGCTGTTTCGTTTACTATTCACTATGCACATATTATGAAGTTTACATGTATCGTATATATATATATATATATAGATAGATACTCTTTAATTGTTGTTGTTTTTATTTTTTTTATTTTTTCATTTACTATTTTGAACGTTAAGCCTATGTTTTGTTATCGATTTTCTGTTTTATTTTTTTTTAAAATATATATATATATATTTTTTGAATGCGCGTTTTATTTTTAAGTCTTTTTTTAACCTAGGGTTGCTTTATTTTGCTTTTGTTGTGTTGTGTTTTGTTGTTGTTGTATGTATTTTCACTTATGGGTTTTTGTTTTTTATTTGTTTTGCTTATTTACTTAATGTTTATATAATATAATATATAATATACTATAGTATATGTATCGAAGTCCTTTAAGATATCACGAATTTGTTTCAATGTTTTTATCTTTTAATTTGCATTTGCTCTTATGTATAAAGTTGTTGTTGGTTAAGACGTTCGTTTCTTCTTCTTCTACCTCGTTTTTTTTTTTTTTTTTGTTTTCTTCTATTGTTAAAAATTACATTGTTTTTGTTTAGTATTCATTTTTGTAATTTTTTATGCTTGGAGATTTTTTTGCGTTTTTTTTTATTTTGTTTTATTTATTTATATTTATAAATTTACAGTAATTATCACAGAGTTGTTAAATCTTTCTTTGAATTTGTTTTTTTGTTTTGTTTTCTTTTTTTTGTTTTTTTTTTTTTACTTTTTTGTTTCAGTTGCTTTAATCGTTATCGCATTTAGACTTTTAACATTTCTCACTAGGTACACTTATAAAAAAAATGAAAACTATTTAAAAATAAACAATAGTCTGTTATTAAAAAAAAAAAAAAACTGTTAGGTTTTTGGGCACTAGGCCGCAGTTTTTTTCTTTCAGTTTTTTCTTGTTTTTTGCTGGGAGTTGTTTAATTTCATTTATTTACAATTTTGTTTGAAATATTGGCTAAGTTAAAGTTGCGGTATATTTTTTTTTTGTTTTTTTTATTTTTGTATTTTGTGTGTTACTCAGTTGTTTTTGTTGCTGGGGTCTTCTTGTTCATAATGTGTGTGTTTTTTTGTTGTTTGTAAAAGTTACTTAAAATTAATAGAATTCTTGTAGATTTTTGGTTTTAAATGTTTTTCGTTATTGTTACCGTTTTTAGTTGCTCGTTTTATTCTGTTTCTTAGTACATTTTTTTCCTTTAGGGTTTTTACTTATTTATTTTTTTTGTTTTGTTTTTTTTTTTTGCGGCACAATTGTTGCTTTATCGTTTCTTTTTTTATTTATTAAATTTTTAATTTTTTTTTCTGTTCTATTACAAGGCGGAACTTTCTTTCTACAATGACTCTTCACACGATCGCCCCGTGGCTCAGTTGGGCTCCCTTCTGCTTCTCCTCTCTGAAGCTCTCTCTCTCTCTCCCTGCTTTCTTTGTGCTTTTGCACTTTTATTTCGCACGGCCACCGCTCGCACAGGCGACAAAGTTTTCTTTTTTGTTTATTGGGCTTAGAGACTATAATATTTTTGTTTCTTAATTAAATAATTTAAATTGATGTTGCGTTTAAATTAAATGTTAATATGTTTAAATTAGTTTTGTTTTTTTTTTTCTGTTTTTTTTTTACTCCCGGTTATTTTGTACTTTAAAACTTTAATTCAGTTGTTTGTTGGTTGTTGTTGGTGTTGCTTTTGCTGTTTGTGTTTCTCGGTTCTCTGTTTGCTTGCTTCCTTTGTTCCTGTTTTTTGTTGTTGTTGTTGTAGTAGAGGCGGCGTTTTTGTTTTGTTCTTGTCTTAATTTTAAATAATTTTAGCAAATTGAATTCACTTTGACTTAACAAAAATTCGTAATTAAATTAAAGCTTTCAGGAAAAAAATGAGGAATTTTGGGATTGTTTTTATTTTTTTAACGTGTGCCGCGGTTGTTGTTGATTTTTTTTTGCTATTCGAGTTTGACGTCAACGTCAACGCCTCAGCGTCGCGTTCTATTTACTGTTGCTTAAAAGACAGTTCTTGATTTGTTGTTGTTGTTGTTTTTGTAGTAGTTGTTGTTGTTGTGTTTTTAGTGCGTGCGTGTGTTTTTGATTGTAATTGTATTTTTGTTATTAGACTTCAACTCCGTTTTACTTTAGTTGATTTCTCTTTTTGTTTTTGTTTTGTTTTGTTGTTGCTTTGAGTATTGACGAGTTAATTTCACAGCGTTTCAAGTGTATTTGAATTTTGTTTGGTTTGTTGTCGGTTTTTTTTTTTTTTTTTTGAAAGTCTTCTTTTCAAGCTTGGCTTGTTTTGTTGTTGTTGATTTGCTGTTTTTTGCACAGATGCGCAGTCGCTATGTCGTCTCTCTCTCTCTTTCTCTCCTCTATATCTCTCTCTGTCACACCCGCTAACAGACTCTTCGCCTCTCACCGTTGACGGCGACGTTTCCTCTTTTCTTTTTCTTGTTGTTGCTTTTAATTTTTTGTTGTCGCCTTTCTACGTGTAAGTTGTTCTCGTCTTTTCAGCGCAGATTTGTAGGTGAGTCGTCGGTCGTTCAGTTGAAGCGAATTTGCAAACGAAAACAAAGGAAATTTCAAAACTAAAAGTTTATGGCAGATGCCCCTCCGTTATTTATATTTATTTTTGTTTTAAAACGCCTCTTAGACTTTTTTGAGCTTTGTTTTGTAGTTGTTGTAGTTTGTTTTCTTTTTGTTTGTTGGTATGTAACTTTTTTTGTGTTTTTATTAGATGATTTATTATTATTTGCTTTTTGATTCGTTTTCGATGGTGTTTTTTTTTTTTTTTGTTATATTATTATTATTTTTATTCAGATTATGATGAAAGTGATGTCAAAACGGAGTTTTAGTTACAAAAGCTGCAACGAGAAGAAAGTTGAAGAATTAGTACACACACCAATACATACATGCATAGCTATATATATAAATATACATAGATATATATTTCTGTTTAATAGAGCTGCCAGCCTCCCAGCAGTGAGTGAAATCTACACCGAAAAAGTCGGCATTGTTGTTGTTGCTGCAGTTTTATTGATTTTTAGTGTTGCAAACCGGAGACTCGTACAATTCGCACACACACATGCAAATGTACACGCACACACATTGACACGCACACAGCAGCAGCTGCATAGAGATTTTACTACCGGAAAAAATTGCACGCACACATTCACAAACAAGTCCACACGGATGCCTCGGCAAAATTGCTTTGAGTGCGATTTGTAAACTATTTTTACACATTTCTGTTATGGTTTTTAGCAGCCAACTGTACACATAAGCATAACTCACACACAGAAAAATACTCGCACACACACGCAATGTGAAGTCGGTAGAAAAAGTTTTTTTTCCAAATTTTTTTTGGGTTTTTTTTTTCGGACTGCAAATTGCGTACCCTTCGCACAGACAGTTGGGAGAAAAACGTTAATAATGCACGAAAACGGTGCGCCTAAGGCGATATTTCATGTTAATTCACAAGCATATTGATTGGCACACGTTTTGTACTTGTTTTCAGTGCGAATTCAAGTTAATTTATTTGCAAATTTGAACAAAAGAAAATTTTCACAACTAGCAATACGTACCACACGACACAGCACAACACCGGACGCCATGTTGGTTAGTGTTGCTAAACGACCAAAAGTAATTTGCAAAGCAATTGTGACGTCAGCACTAGCCAAACTAGGAATATATTTGAATTTCGTTAACTCTATTTTGTTAATTACCTTATAACAACAACTGTTGTAATAATTAACTATTACTATTTAAGGTAATTTTTTGCTATGGTTTGTGTAACGCACTTTGCAACACTGCTTGCGGCAACCAGCCCTGGTCATTAAACGAACGAATCAACCCTGCCTTCAACTATTAGCTGAAAATCGAAATTTCACAATAGCCCAACATAAAATCTTAAGCATTTTGTATTTACATTTTTGAACCGAATAAGCTTGAAACAAAATTGTGCTACATGAGGCGGCAATTACGCACATACTTAACTAGCTGGTAAAAACAAACAAATCGTCAAATTATCAGAGTGGAGCCCAAAATATCAAGTTGCCGCCGCTTCAGCGTTGCGCTCTTGTTATTTAACCTAAAGCGAATATTCAAAGCACACATCTAATCGACTCCCCCGTCCCCGCCCCACCAAAAAGCAAGATGGCTTTCCGGCTGCTCAGCTCGGCGCAGGCCATGAAGAGCCTAATGAGACGAAGCTACTCGCACGGCGGTCTCACAGACAAGGTGCGTATGGAATAGTTGTCAAAGATCCGTCTTCTCTTCTCACATAATAACTTGCAGGTACAACGTGGAGCTGGCTTTGAGTTGGCACCTCTGATGCGTTACCTTGTGGAACAGTTTCAAATGTTTTGCAAGAAGCCGCCCAAGGGTTTTGAGAAGTATTTCGAGGCCGGTGGCAAGTCCACAAAACCCAAAGCCGCCGAAACGGAACAAAAATCTGCCTCGGGAAGTAAACCCACGACCGGGAGCAGCAGCAGCAGTAAAAGCAGACCACCTGCGGTGAAGCCGAGCACAGCGAGTGAGACAAAGTCGGATTGGAATTTCGGCATGTTCAGCAATAGTTCACGTGGTCCCGGTGCTCGGGGATCGGGTGCGCCGGGCGGTCGACCACTCAGCGAGGGTGGCGGTGGCGATCGGGAGCGCTGGATACTATTTGGCGCACTGGGAGCTGTTGTCCTCGTTGGTTCCTTTGCCTTCTTTGAGATGGGCTACAAGGAGATCTCATGGAAGGAATTTGTCAACAGGTGCCAAGTCCAGTTTCTCTTTATTTTATTTCATCAGCGCATATGTCGAATTTCATAATTTTTAATTAATTTTTTTCTTGCGATTATATAATTGTTAATTTTGTCTATTATTCTTTAGTTATCTGGCCAAGGGCGTCGTTGAGAAACTGGAGGTGGTAAACAAGAAGTGGGTTCGCGTCCGTCTGTTGCCCAGTCAGAGCAATAGTGGCGTCCTCTGGTTCAACATTGGCAGCGTGGACTCGTTTGAGCGTAATTTGGAGACGGCTCAAGCGGAACAGGGCGTGGAGTCTATTAATTTTGTGCCTGTGATCTATCGGAACGAGGTGGAGGCATCCAGTTTGACGGGTCTGCTGCCCACGCTGCTGATCATCGGCTTTCTCGTCTATATGATGAGGAAGTCGGCGGACATGATGGGCGGTGGACGAGGACGCAAAGGCGGCGGCCTATTTGGCGGCGTCATGCAGTCCACGGCCAAGCTAATTAATCCCACAGAAATTGGCGTCGGTTTCAAGTGAGTCTGCTGCACATCTTTTTATCCGCCAATTGCTAATCTCTGACTTACAGAGACGTTGCCGGCTGTGAGGAGGCCAAAATCGAGATAATGGAATTTGTCAACTTTCTGAAGAATCCGCAACAGTATATCGATTTGGGTGCCAAGATACCCAAAGGCGCCATGCTAACAGGTCCACCCGGCACGGGCAAAACGCTGCTGGCCAAGGCGACAGCTGGCGAGGCGAATGTGCCTTTTATCACCGTCTCCGGTTCAGAGTTTCTCGAGATGTTTGTGGGCGTTGGACCATCTCGAGTGAGGGATATGTTCGCCATGGCGAGGAAACATGCGCCGTGCATCCTCTTCATCGATGAGATCGATGCGGTGGGTCGAAAGCGTGGCGGCAAAACCTTTGGCGGCCATTCGGAGCAGGAGAATACACTGAATCAGCTGCTCGTTGAGATGGATGGCTTCAATACCACTACAAATGTGGTGGTGCTGGCCGCCACCAATCGTGTTGACATCCTCGATAAGGCACTGATGCGTCCCGGCCGCTTTGATCGGCAGATCTATGTACCCGCCCCCGATATCAAGGGACGTGCGAGCATCTTCAAGGTGCATTTGGGCGCACTGAAGACTGAACTGGACAAGAATGGATTGGCGCGTAAGATGGCGGCGTTGACACCCGGTTTCACCGGCGCCGACATTGCCAATGTGTGCAATGAGGCGGCATTGATCGCCGCCCGCGACTCCAAGGATTCAATTGTGCTGAAGCACTTTGAGCAGGCCATCGAGCGTGTCATCGCTGGCATGGAGAAGAAGACGAATGTCCTGGCGCCGGAGGAAAAGCGAACGGTAGCGCATCACGAGGCGGGACATGCTGTAGCTGGTTGGTTCCTGGAGCATGCCGATCCACTTCTAAAGGTCTCGATTATACCACGTGGCAAGGGATTGGGCTATGCTCAGTATTTGCCCAAGGATCACTATCTGCTGTCGAAGGAGCAGCTCTTTGATCGCATGTGTATGACACTGGGCGGTCGTGTGGCCGAGGAGCTGTTCTTCAATCGGATCACGACTGGCGCCCAGGATGATCTCAAGAAGATCACAGATATCGCCTACTCCCAGGTGGTGCGTTTCGGCATGAACGAGAAGGTCGGTCAGGTGAGCTTCGATGTGGGCCAATCGGGTGATCCGGTGTTCAGCAAGCCCTACTCCGAGGACACCGCCATGATTATCGATAGTGAAGTTCGGGATATTATCAAATGTGCGCATACAGCGACCACAGAACTGCTCGTCAAGCACAAGGAGGAAGTGCGTCTTGTTGCGGAGCGTCTGCTGCAGAATGAGGTGCTGTCCCGCGACGATATGATCGAGCTGCTCGGACCACGTCCCTTCAAGGACAAGTCGACGTACGAGGAGTTCGTCGAGGGTACCGGCTCCTTTGAGGAGGACACCACGCTGCCTGAGGGCCTTAAGAGCTGGAACAAGGAGAAGGAGGAGCCCAGCAGAACGGACACAACGGACGCAATGCCGCCAACTTCGCCACCCACAAAGCCAGCAACGGCCTCCAGCTAGATCCATGATAACATGGCTCCTCTTTTGTTTTTTTAGCCAGCTGTTATTGTTTTTGTTGTAGTCATAGTCGCAGATAGTAAATATGGTTGAAGTCCTCCGACTTTGGGTCGCTTTATTCAGGACGTGCTTTAAACTTGCATTCACAAAATGTTCTCTCTTTCTACATCATCCCCTTCCACATCCCTGCCCCTTTTTAGGAACAGTGCGTCCAATAACGAACCGCTTTACAACCCTACAGTTGTTTCAAGCAGTTTTCTAGTTGGAGGCCCAAGCTGTGCTAAATTTACCGTACTCAAAACGAACTACTTAAATAAATTAAATAAAACAATAAATTTTTCAACAAAAAAATATAAAAGAAAGAAAATGATTCTTTATTGGGACATCAATGGAACTACATAATTAAAAAGATACAATGATAATGGCAAAATTCAGAAATTTGAAATTTCAATTAAATAAAATCTGATATATGATTTGGTCTACAAAAGGTTAAATGTAAAATTTTAATTTGTTGCTAGATATTTCTTATTCTTTTTTTCTTATTTCGAAATTGGCGCTTTCTTTCTACAATAATTCCCAGTGTAAGCTTTAAAAGCTCGAAACAAATACACCGAGCATCGCGACTTGCCGTCATGCTCTTAAATGTAAACCCAACGCTCTTTATAACGCGAACTCTCTCACAAGCACACAGACAGACAGACACTCTCTCTCTTTCTCTCTCTCTGTGCATTGCTTATCACTTATCAGCTGTGCTGGCTTTTCGGCATGATGCAGCCGGCTAGCTGCAGTGTGTACAAATGTTTTGCATAGGTCTCTGTCGACGTTGCCGCAAAGCTTTGCTCAACTACACACACACACACACACACACACTCACACACACACGCACACACACACACACACACACACATGTAGAGTGCTACTACCAACCAATACAAATGCAGTGTGCCACTGTGACCCGTTGTTGCTGCTGCCTCTGCCGGCGTTGCTGTTGCTGCTGCTGCTGCTGCTGTTGTCGGTGTCAGTGTGTTGTTTGGGGCTGGCTGCCGTTGGCCGTTAGCCGTGTCTCAGTGTCGTCTTGTTGGTTGTCGCGTTCGTGTGCGCGCACAAAAATCAAGCAGCAGCAGCAACCAGCAGCAGCAGCAGCAGCAGCCAAGCAAGCAGCCAGCAAATTGCAATTGCATTCAAATAAAAATACATAATAATAATTTCAGCTCGCTCGTTGCAGTTGCAAGTGAAGTGCGTGCAAGGCAAATAATAAAAAAAAAACAACGACAAACAACAGCAGCAAAAATAACAAAAACACGTTGTTTATTTTTGAGGCGGCTTTTTGCATTGGGGGGCATTGTGTCAATGCAAAATTGACGATTATATAAATGTGCGCGGCATTCAATTCTAATTACAAACAACGACAAACGAAAACTGCAACTTGCCTGTGTGCTTTTGTGTGTGTGTGCAAAGTGATTTGTTTTTTTTTAGACCGGAAACACACACACACACAACAACAAATAAACACGTACACACAAAATGAAGTGTTGTCGATCGCACGTGTACAAAATGGCGGCCAGCCGGCAAAAGCCAGGAAACAATAACACAAGGAGCTTAAGCTCTGCAAATTGTGTACACACTGGCTGGCATTGTATTTCACATGTGCTGATCGTGGCGCCAGCTGGCGGCAATCTGCTGCAGCTACAATTTCGTTGTCGTCGATCGTTTTTTGCATGCATTGTTTTTTTTTTTATGTTTTTGTAGTTTGATTTTCGCAGCGAATTTTGTTCTGGCAATTGTGGCAATTGTCGTTGTCGGGTCACGTGTTTGCTGCCGCCGCCAGTTAACTTCTGCTCTCGCTGTAACGGTGCATGTACCGTAACTGCCTAGACCCACCACCCCCCCATCCATCACTGTCTCTCTCTCTCCCGCTCTACCTCTCTCTTTCTGTCGCTTGCATGCTGCGCTTTATTATAGCTTATTGTTGTTATAGCTGTGGTTGTGGAGTGAATGGGTGAGGGGATTGGTAGTCAACACGCTGTCCCCATTGCATGCAATACTCTGTTTTGTGTGTTTGTGTGTGTATTTGTGTGGGTGTGGGAAAGATCAAGGCGTGTATTAAAAACAATGGCAAATAAGCAAACAACAAAAGCGAATTTATTTTTGCTTACACACATTTTGTATTTTTGTTGTTGTTTGTTTTTGTCGCTCTCATTTTGCAATCGAAAGCTTGTCACAGATTTATCTATGCGTGTATCCTTAGTATAGGAGAGAGAGAGAGATGGATGGCAATTATCATACCTAGCGCAAAAGATTAAGCAGTTAAAGCTCAGCTTAAAGAGATAGAGAGAGACAAAGCTGTTCAAGTTATCAAACGCTTAAATGTAATCTTAGCCAATAGCCGATCAACAACAACAACAGCAAACTCAAGCAATTCTACTTCTGTCAAAAAGGTCAGCTTGAAGAAAGAGCCTTTTTCGATGCAGTTGGCAGGTTTTTTAGAGGCAAAACGAAAAGGAAACTTTGCTGATTAAGATATCTACTAATGCTTAATATAAGATTAAAGCTTACATCCACATTTACTAACTATTTCAAAATATTTAAGCAACAATTTTAGCTTTTTTTACTTAACTTTCTACGCAGCTCTGCTGGAAATAACGATAAAGAAACGATATTCCTGCTTCATCATCAAAATCAAACTAATTTATCTGTTCAATATTGAAGACCTTTTTGCACTTGTTTTGCATTTCGAGCAACTTGGAATCGAAAATATTTTGCAAGCAGCGTCGAATATGCATTCGAATGTATTCGAATCTTTGCCTTTCAAGATTGCATTGTAATTGTATTGGATTTACGATGAGACGTTCCAAATCATTTAAAACAGCTGTGGTTTTCGAAAATAATTGCATTATGTGCTTCAGGTTTACTAAGCTAAATTTATTACAGTAATATGTTGCCTTCAATTTAAAATTTATAATAAATAAACAAAAATACAAAAAAATAAATAAATATATAAAAACAACAAACAAACAACAACAGTTAACGCAACGTTTCTAAAACAACTCAAATAACCAAAAGTGGCCTGCAGCAAACCAGAAATGTGATTCAAAGTGCGCAATGTAACCAAAAAAGAAATAAAACCAAAAAAAAAAACAAAACAAAACAAAAAACTACATAAACAATTTGATTTTCAATGAAACAAACAAGAAAAAAGCAAAGAAAAAACGCTAGCAAAAACAACAACGCCAAATGGAAGTAAAAAGAGCGTCGAGCGTCGGTTCAAGTAGCGAATTAGCAGCCAGAGTCAATGATTAAAGCAGCGACGATTGATTGATAGTCGTCGTCGGAGTCGGTGTCGGAGTCGCCGTCGTTGGAGTCGCCGTCACAGTCTTAGTTAGCTTAGACACCTACTATTCCTACGCCTCCTCTCCCCCGTCGAAATCGCCCTCCTCCCACACTCAAATGCAGCAACAGTTACAGCAACAGCAACAAAAACAACAACAGTTTTTAGGACATTAGCCAGACACATACACACACTGACACACACACACATAGATCCAGAGAAGCAGCAGCCAACATGGACATCAAGATTGAGCAGCAGCAGCAACAGCAACAACAGCAGCAGCAGCAGGGGCAGCAACAGCAAACTGAGCTGGGACCCGTTTCGCCCTCGGAGGTGCCCAATGATCCTGGGTAAGTGTCGGGTTTGTGGCATTAATTGTTTTAGTTTTAAGTTGTCATTATTGAAGTGCCACCAGAGAGTGAGCGAGAGTGACAGAAAGAGAAAGAGAGAGTGTGCGAGAGAGACGGAGAGAGAGAGAGAGAGCGACTGTTGACAGAAAGTTTTTCTGTGTCAACTCAACTCGATGGGCCACTGCCAAAGCCAAGGCAAAAGCAGGATGAGTCCTCCCGGTCGGAGTCTGAGCTGAAACTAATTAGAAAACAATTTGCTAAGGACATCAAAATTCAATTAAAGCCATTGAGTTTAGTAGTGCTTTAGTGCACTTCTGCAGACCAACTGCAACAGTCCAACCTCCCTCGCCCACCTCTCCCTTCTGCCCCTTCCTGTCCACCACTCCTGCAACATTTGATTATCGTTGTTGGCCTCCACTTGAAATGGGTTAAGTTCTGATTGCGGTGTCATATGCAGCAGATTAATTGCAAAGCTGCATTGCTCATAATTTGCATTTAGTTCTCTTTCTATCTATCTGTCTTTCTCTCTCTCTCTCTCTCTCTCTTTCTTTCTCTGTATGTGTGTATGTGTGTGTGTATTTGTTGTTTTTTGTCTGTTGGTTGTTTGTTGTTTTTGGGCACGCAAACTGTCCGAAAGTCAAACAAACAAAATTAAATGACAAATGGCAAATGATGGCAAACTGAAATTCGAAAATGAATACAAATCAGACCGAGTGAGTGAGAGACAGAGAGATAGAATGAGTGACAGACAGAGACAGAGAGAGAGAGAGAGAGAGAGAGAGAGAGAGAGGGAGAGGGAGAGTGAGCGAATGAGTTTGAAGTGTGAAATGTAAATGAACAGGTGCAATAAATGCCTCAGCGAAATCGGAAATATTTGTATGAAATGAAAATATCCCATTTATTTTTTATACAACCTTGTTGGGGGTATTATTAAACTGTCATCAAGTTTATAAAGCATTGAACGTTACCTCTCCGATGCCATAGAATATATAGAGGTATTCTCGATCAGCATATCTAATATATCTAATATAACCACATCCATCTACTTTGAAGAATGAAATTTTTATGAGTTTCGTCGATGAAACTCTGCAATGCCATCAGTCTTTCTTCGTATTTTTCTTATTCATAAAGCTGGTGAAACGATTGATAGCAAAGATTCTTATAGATCCATTCTCAAGCTTTTCAAAAACTTTTAAGAGCATATTCTCCGAGTTGAATATCAATTTAAGATTAAAATGAGTGTATTTAAAACTCACCAAAGACATAACTTTATCAAAAGCAATGCCTTTTTCCATGCTTCCTATTCAAACCAAGATTTAACAATCCATCAAATCAAAGTAGTTCAATCGTTTATTTAAAGTATTTATTTTGTGCTGCTTTGCGTCAAAGCCAAATAACAACGATTTATGGCATTCTTCATCGGTGCGAAAATAGTCTAATTAAGATAACAATTTCTTTCACAAGTGACAAGCGGGAAATCATTTATAAACAATGCATGAAAATAATGTGAAAATGTGACAACGAAGAAGATAGAATCTGTCGTCGTAAGATTTCAACAGATTTATTTTATTGTTGACTTGTGACCGCTCATTAATTAAGTATAACGAAATTAGACTTGTGTAGAATTATAAAAACCCATTAGTACAGTGCATTAGATTTATTGTAATTTTAAAATGATATACAGGTATGTATATTTATAGAGCAATTTATGATTTTATAATTGTCGTTTAGTTGAAACTTATAGCACAAAACAATCAAAAGCTTTAAATTATTCAATAAAACAAATAAGAATGCTCTAGTCGAGAGAGATCGATAAGAAAATACCCCGAAGCTAATATTATTTCAAGTTATGTATATATATATATACCGACTAGAAAGATACATATTTAAAGTTGTGTATTCTGTTGCTATCGGCAAACGATTCTTATCGATAATCGGCAAGTAATCGTAAAAATGATGTAGACTTGATCTGCCTATGGCCAAAGGTGACTAGATATACTCGGTTATTCATGCTGATTCATGCCTCATTTTATACACTTTTAATGACAGAAAACCACAAAAAAGCTTTTCATTAAATGAACGGGAATCTAAAAATATGTGAAGTGTTTTGAAGCGTTGTTTTTGGCCACTTCAATATTTTCAATTGAGTTTGCTAGTTTTTCTCTGCTAGTCGCAACTGATAATCAGCAACTGCAACTGCAACTGCTCCGCTTTCCATTTTGCTGTGAAGATGGCATTTGTTAATTTTGGCTTGCCATATGGACTTGCCACATCTCGCTGTCGTCGTTGCCGTCGTTGTCGTTACAATTCATTGAACACGCAAAGCCTATAAATTATGTATACATACACATACATATACATATAAATACATATATAAAATACACATATATATTTATCTATTATCGAAGCGCTGCAAATTGTCTAACACAAAAAAGGGAAGGCGGAGAACGCTTGCCACATCTTGTTGCCAAACTCATACAACAAAAATAGTCTCATAGGAGAAGCAGAAGCCACCGGATAAACAAATAAGAAAAAAGTAAAATAATAATAAAAGGAAGAAAGAAATGGATCACCTGCTGCGCCGGCAGCTCCAAGCCAAATCGACGCAGACGCAAACGGTGGCAGGTGCAACATTGGGTCACAACGAGTGGCGGCGCGAATGGCAAATGCAGCACCTCATGCTAAATGTTGTAGAATGCATAAATCTTGAATTAATGCAAAATACCTTTTGATGACGCTGCTAAGATATACACACTAACACACACACTAACACACACACTAACAGACACACACACTCTAAAGCACACTCTGAGTGTGTTGTGCAAGTTCTGTGCAAATATCGCGACTACAATTCCATTCATACAGTTTCTTTCGTTTTGGCGATCGCAGAGCGTTACGGCTCAGTAAATTTTGGACGTCCTATTCAGCGTCTGCAATCCACCACCAGACTCCTTACCCTCCATGCCATCATATCCCCTTCACTTCTGGCCGGCTACTTTATAAATCTTTTGAAGGGCCAACCGAAAAAAAAAGATTTGCTGGCAACGTTCGCAAAATGGCAAAGTAAATAAACACAAATGCGAACCAACAACCAAAGAAATGAGCAAATACAAAAAATAAAAAAAAACAGAAACAGATAAGGTATATAGAACAAAACAACATAGAAAGAAATAACTAAATAAATGCCCTGCTATTAATACAATTCACTTTGCCAATGTATTTTTAGTGCAAATACAGCAACAACAACAAGTGAGAGGCATTAAGCGAGCATAAATGATGCACGATACAAATGCCCTGTAAGGCAATAATGATTTCGTGATCAATTTTGCATTTATAAATAGAAAGTATTCTTATCTTTTACATGAGAAAAGAAACTCTTGTGTAAAGTCTTTAAATTTTCCCGATCGACTTGAAATCTGTAAGATTGAATCGATGCCTTTCTCCCAAATATGTTCAAGATGTCTATTTCAAAAAACAAATCTTATTTCTTTTTTTATATGTGCATTTTTATCAATTTTAGCTTGATTTATTTTCATAAACGCTTTTTTCATAGGACATTCAAAGTGCTGTAATGAAAAAGTGTTGTACAACAGAAAACACAATAACTGTAAATCTCATCTCCTGCTGTATTTATGATTTGTGGAGGTTGGTCGATAGGGACACTTCTACTTCTTCTGGGCAGCTGCTAGTATTGCGATCTCTTTCGCAATCACACATTCTGATGGCTAGCTAATAAGACCAACTTGTGCAGTTACAGGGTATATGGAAACTGAGGTACGACTGGCATGCGACTTCGACAATTATCCATTACAACTGACACGCGGGTCCAAAAAGCAAAAAAAAAAACTAAAAGAGACACATACAAGAAACAAATAAACACAGCGCGCAGTGTCGCAAACATTGCGGTTTGCCGTTGTTGGTGTTGTTGTTGTAGACGTTTTCGGCTTAGCCCGGGAATCATCATTTAGCGCGTGTGTTTGGGACCCCGAAAAAAATGTGCAAATGCAAAATATTCGCAATTGGAAATGCAATTGCACTCGCTGCTCTTTTCGTAATTGTCTCGTTTTGTTCTTGTCGTTCGTCTATGCTGCCCATGCCTTTGCCAATGTATATGCTTGTAATTGTGGCTTTGTTACGTTTCGTAAATTGATTCATTGTACACGGTCGACGGTCGCTACTTGTCCAACCCCCCACTCTCCAACCTTAGCCCCCTTTCGTGTTCCCCTTCGGCGATTGGCCGCTGTAATTGCTTTCAAATGATTTTGTGTCGCTGTGTGCGCAATTCCATATTGTCGTCGTCATTTTGTTTATGACCGCCGTCGCGTCATCTGTCTGACTGCGTGCCTGCCCAATAAGCTCTTATTTTGTATGCATAATGAGACCGTTGGCAATTTGTGCTCAAAGGGTCAGTCATTAGCAGCAAAGTGCTGTTTGTTCGTTTGCCACAAACAGACATAAAAATCAGCGCCTGTTTTGGTGCCATCACCAGCTCCTGTAAGACGATCAATCAATCGATAGCAGAGCGAAATCAACAGTTGGCAACTCTTGCTCCTGTTATGCAACTCTGCAGTGCGATCTGCGAAGTATATCTATAACAGAGCGAGATCAACAGTTGGCAACTCTGCAAAGCGATCAGCAATGTATTTACATATCAATAACAGGTGGGAGAACAACAGTTGGCAGCTCTTGCAACTCAGCAAGGCGATCTGCAGCGAGTCGAGCAACAATTGGCAATTCGGCAGCTCAGCTCAGCTTGGGCAGCATGTATTTTATGCGAGTTAATCCCACAAGTGACTTAATTAATAGCGCTTAAATATGGATTGATTGGCTTTACCAAAGTGCTTTCATGTACACTGTATATATTTATGTATATATATAAGTGTGTGTTTATTGCAATTATTACACATGTGCAAGCAAACACAAATGTAGACAACGTCGGATGCCGAAGCTTTTGCTGTGCGTCCATTTAAATTTCGTGCCGCATTTGTGATTTGCTTTTA